CCCTTTCTTCCGCCGGAAATTTGTGATGGAAGCAGAGATACCTTAGCCCGTCGAAAGCGAGCGGAATCGTCGAGTCCGGGAAGAAGATGTCGATTCAAAAGTCAAGCATTCATCAAGGTCGAGGCTGGGCAAGCCACCGGCGCCTGGTGTTTTTCTCGTTCAACGGAGCGACTCCGAAGTCATTTCCTGCATACGTGCGAGAGGGTAGAAGAAATTGTTTTATGCTGCTTCTGGGCCTTGTTGCTTTGAGACGGAGTCAGAGCGCGGAGAACGAGCCCTGTACTTTGGAAGAGCTTGCTCCCAGTGGATCGAACGAGCGACGGCACAAGCAACGACTTTGCGCGAGGGGATTGCTGGTGGCTCAGCGGAGACTTTTCCTTTCGACCGGCTTCTGAGCGTAGCATGAGATTTCCCTAGAAGATTCCACCGAGCGACCTTGGGAGAGTTTGCATATGAAAGTTCCCCTGTTTCGCGGCGACCACCAGCTAATTCAATAGCCAGACAGAGGTTTGGTTGTCTACTTGACTGACTGCTGCTCGCTATACCCCATCCACTCGCACGCTTCCCGTCCACTTGGTCGGTCGGTCGGTCAGTCCGTCAGGCTCCGGGCGAGCTTGCTTGACTGACTGACTAGTCGAAGTGGACCGAAGGCAAGATTTATGACCCTGCTGCTCTTGCTCTCAGGTGGCTGACACGTTTCTATGGAGTCAAAGTCGGGGAAAAACGGAGTTAAAAACGGAGAAGATCACGGCGAACACCAGCTGCTCCAGGATATGAACGTCTTCTACTCACTTCGGATTTGGCCCATTTGGCTCATCATCATTTCCCTGGTCTTCCCGGGCTTGCACTCATTTCACCTCGAGTTTCTCCTAACGAGGAGATCCAGGAGAGAAGTTCTGATTGAATTTATCAAACTCCCTCCTGATCACGCGGGAGATTATGTTAACGAGAAATGCCTAAAGCTCGCAATCTCGCTTCACATCTCAGAGCTTCCGTCTTGAAGCTTCTCCGTCCTGTCGCTCTTCGAAACTTATTCCGTGCATTTATTAAATACGTGAATGATTTTTCGAAGCTTTTCGTGGACTTATCCGGAGCCTGATTCATCTCCGCTCGGGATATCTTCCGGAAGAGATTCTTCTAAAGGGAAGAAGCGATCATCGCGAACTCACCTCTGGATGTTTCCGAAATGGGCAAACGAACGCTGTGGTCTCTCTGGCAACCTGAGAAGGTTCAAAATCCCTTGTTATGAGCTCGGAAAAGACGAATGAAACGGAAAGGCTCCCGAGCAGCATTTAGAAGCGAGACGGAGAAGGAATTTCTTGCTGTGTAGCTTCATTATTCTGCGTCGATTCATTCAACGTCATTGTTAGAGCGGTCCGAAGCGTTCATCTCCTGGGAAGAGGAGACAAGGGAGCAGACCAATGGACATTTGAGTGAGCGTTGGACGTTCGACTGAATCAAAGCTATTGTGAGACCAGACACGTCTCTTCACTTAGCCTGTTTTCCCACGATATCCCCTGCCCAAGCGGACCGTCACTATCCCCCTTCAGTCATATCTGTCGCCACCCAGATCCTCGCTGAATGAAAGGAAGACGACATCGAGCAACGAGATACTCCAGCGTGAAGGCTCCAGCATTCTGGGTGAAGGCTGTGACTTTCGGTCGCCAAATAGCATCAGCTGACCGTCGAATGACTGTTTCCCGTCGCCTCATTGTCGAAACTATCCGGAGGCGAAATATTCTGCGTAAACCTATGTCGTCACCGTCCCGGTGAGGCTGATTATTCAGAGACTCTCAGTCAGACTAGATCCTGGAATCGAATGCCACTCAGCAATGTTTCCAGTAATGCATCGCAAACTCGCTTGTCGAGTGTGGATATGTTTTAGTTAGTCGAGTGCTGAGAGAGCGAGTATGAAAACAATCTCTGTGTTAGTCGCTTCTTAGGTTAAGGGCTAAGCAGTCGCCGATGCCGCACTAGAAGCAACGGTCTCGGAGCTCGTAAAGCGACAGCTCCCATGTTTCGACGCCACTTCCATTTTCTATATATAGGCTTCCGTTCGCTCGGTCGCTCGTTCGCCTAGGTTTCGGTACGAGCGCATGCTACCAAAACCACTCCGGACCGTGACGAGGGTCTGTGTCGCATGCGCTCTCTATTGGGAATCTGGAAAAAGGACCGCTCAGCAACGATTCAAGAAGTTGGCTTCTGCTGTTGGCTCGACGGCTGCAGCTTGAAAACGTTCCTCATCGTGACTTCCTTTCCCGCTCTTCTCTTTCTTTCGCTTTCGGAACGTGCTGGCAGACGTCAAGACCCCCACTCGTATTCGGGCTCGTATTGACACTGCCAAACGCGGAATCCGCCCGCCCCAGACCGATAGCCTGAGGAGTTTCTGAATTCGATGAGTTCGCTGCGCCGCGATGATTGGATAAGAGGGAACGACGGACTTGTTCCGGAAGAAGCGACTCCGGAGTTTTTTGAATGGGCGAAATTAAAAATTGGTTATTCCCTCCTATCCGAGAGCTTCCACAATGAGCATCGCTGTAGAGAGGAGAGAACAGTTCGAGCTCTGGGACTCGATCGTGAGGGGGTCCAGAGAGGGTCTGCGTAGACGGCTTCTCCAGCAGAATTTGATCGGGGAACCTTCCTTCGAAACATCGAGGACGGCTGAGCGCATAGCTCAATTGCTACGTCAGCAGAACAGCGATAAGAATCCTGAGATAGCGGAGCCGAGGTCTCGGCTTGAATATTCTGAGCGAGTGATGATTGACGTTTCGAGAACGAATTTTTTAATTTCGTCGAACGACGACGTCGCAGATCGAGGAGGTCCGACCAGTGAGCAACCAGTTAGCAGCGAAGAGGGGACGGCGTCGTCCCGTTGTTCGATCATAACCCGCGGACGTACTGGAATCGATTCTATGTAGGCTGTTTCCCAGATTCTCCTCTATTCCGTAGTCACTCGCCTCCGGACAACTGTCATAGAACACCCGAACTCGATTGCCTACGCGTGCGGCTCTGCGCATCGAGGGCGACGAGTCAGAGTTTTCAAGAAACGAACGGCTTCTGAAAATTCTCCCTGAATCAACAATCGGTAACGACTGCGATAGCTCCAAATATAGCGATGCCCTCTCCGTTCCCTCCACTGTGTGTTCTTCTGTTTTTCCATTCGCTCCATGTTACAAAGCCCGGACAGAGAAGTCGGAGTGGATGAGCTCAGATCGAGCAGGGAAGAGCGGGAGAAGAGAGAGAGAGAATCGCGGAGAGACGCTTTCTTTTTACTTTATGACGTCCATCCCCGAACGTTTAACTAAACACATACGGCTGGGCCTGGGCAGGCCGACTGGCCTGTCAGATTCTGGTGTCGTGGCCATTGTTGAGTTAAGAGACAATAACCCGCTGACAAAGACCGGATGTTGGAGTCCGTCTTGGGAAGAAAGCTTTTAAATGAAAATTATCATGAGAATCACCATCGTTCGGTACATTCAAACGTTTCCTTAGAACAGAACCGGCGCCAACGGTCGGAGGACACGTCTGGCAAGGTGACGGGGATCCGAGCGTCGAAGGACATACCACGACACCCATGGAGAGCACTTGCCGAAATTATTTGAGGACAGCTTGCCTTCACCTGCGATGCTTGATTCTGAGCAGCTGTCGATAATGGAACACTATTTACGGCGATCGGAGTTTGGCTCTCGTACCATCCTGCACTCCGGTCCTGAGATCTTCAGCGAAAGCCCCCTAGTGAGTCGAGTTTCCAAATCGATCGTGAAGAGTCTTCACTCCGGGATCATCCCGCGGTCTTCTTCGTCGTGATCAGCACGAAGGATTATTGTCGGCTTCAGCTCGAAAAGGGGAAAGCTCCGCTCCGGGCCGTTGGCACATCCCCTCAGAGCCGTTGAGTTCCACGGGAAACTCCCGCGCCCTCTTCGCGTGGGAAGTATGCTTTCGGAGTAGCGAAGAAAAACTCTCATTCAAAAAACTCGATAAGCAGCTAGAGCATGACGCTTATGAATGATGGAGCGAAGAAAAACGAACGCGATTGATGCTTTTGAAAAGAAGCATGATCTCAGAGTCGCAAAGGAAAGTTGTTTCGTTGTTATTCACGCCTTCCTCCCAAGAACCGCCTCTATCATCATAGAAGAATCTTGGAGAGGCGGCGCGGCGGCGGTTCGAACTCTACCTCTGAAACCATGAGCGCGAACACGCCTGACTAAACAGTGTGAACGAACAAAGCGCCGGTCTCATGCTATCAGTCGTTCCGTGCGGCACGCTCTGGTCAAAGAGGAAAAACTAGAGTACGACGGAGACATGCACCACCCGCCGCTGTCCGAAGATCTGATGGAATTACGTGTTGAAGACTTGAGGATGGAAGGCGCGCATAACGGTTGTCGACCCTTCGCTGTAATCCGAATCCGGCGATGCTTGACGTACGGAGTTCCAGCCGCCCTTCGAGCCCGGGTTCGGCGAACAGCACCATACCCCTGGAGAATTCATTAGGTGCAAGCTCAGGTGCGAGTGTGTAATATCGTTCCCGAAAATGGCAGGAGCAGGGTGGCCACAAACATCGCGCGCGCCTACGTTTGAGCAAACGAGCGACCGGGCGAGCAAACATGGCAAGACATGTCGGCTACCTTGATCTTCGCTGGGAAAGTGCTTTTGTATATTTCTTTAATTAACTCCCATGAAGCCCTCCTTTGCACACAGGAGCCGGCTCGGGGCCGGGGCATGTCACCGCTGAAATTGTCCTTTGGCTGCAAGTGTATGCGCCCGTCATTTGCATGTCGTAATGAGTGTAAGCAGTGCTGGTGGGCCTGCGTCCTGAGTGTCCCTGTCTCGGCGACACGAGGCATCCGTCGTTACATTGGCCATGTCAATGACCGCGCCTGTAATGGAGGCCGTCGAGAAACAGAGCAAGGCGAGCGAAGACGCTGAGTGCTCGTCTTCCGCAAGTCTCTCTGTGGGAACAAACACCTCCATCGCCATCCTCGCTCGGATCATCAGCGACCATGCCTCATTTTGTTTCGACTTTCAAGACCGGGAGCAGCGGAGAAGATCTTCAGCGGTGCGAAGATTGTGAGCGCTGAGTGACCGTACAGAGGAGGCAACCTCCGGGAGCGGCTTCTCTCACAGACGTGGAACGCATTATGTGAAGCTTTTCTAAGTTTTCTTTTTTTTGCTCTCCTTACAGCGGCATTCTACGGAAGCAGCTTCGCATCGCTCGTACTGCAGGACTCGAGCTCGGGCTCTGGAGTTGACACGAGGTTCCGCTTCAAAACACGCAGCGAGGACGCACTTCTCCTCCTGGCCGCCAGCGGAGCTGACTACTGTATCATAGAACTCAAACGCGGGACTCTAAAGGTAAATCTCAGACTCCTTTCTCGAACGAGAAACCTCCCGGATACCAGAAGTTCACCTTTCGATTCCATTCTCGGATTACTCGCTTCGCACAGCTAGAACTCGAGGAAGAAATCGATATTCGACAGTCGTCGTCGAGCTTTCCTCTCACAAGCAAATTCCGCAACCTGCAAAAGAATTTTTCCTCTCGTTCGAAAAGTGGCGATATCCGTCCCTAAGAACGCTCGTCCTGTTCCTTGTCAAGGGGACCTCGACTCTCTGACGGACGAATATATCACAATGTTTTTCCACGTATGCGTGGACCGTTCGAGATTTCGAAATCTCCGGTCATTCCCCTGTAGCCTGCCTTGGCTTCCCATGGACGAATTCCCCCTGGAACCAGAAGCAGCTTTCTAAATAAGGGGACTGGTTGCCAGGCGTTGCCATTCGACTCGAGCATAGCACAAGGTACACACACGTGGAAGTGTTAAGCGAGTGGTCCCAGCCTCCGGATCCCGGACTGAGCGCCGCGCCGACCCGCCAGTTGGCAGGAGAAGGACGAGCACCTGTTATGCAAAACGTATGATGGACGTCTCGCATGGCGATAACTCGCGAAAGCCGCCGCCGCTTGCGGAACAATGTGTTTGTTGTTACTCGTCGTCGCTGAAGTCCAACCTGAAAAATCGAGAGGTATCACGAATGGCAGCGCGAGCCGCTCTTCGAACGTATGCTCGCCGGTCCGGCCTGCTCGCTCAGAGCGGCGCTCGTTCGCTTCGGTGAGCCCAAGGCAAAAGCGGACTTTCCATCAAGGGCTCGACACGCTCCGTGTCCTGGTAGGACAACATCGTATATTGGGCCCAAGAATTGCAGTGATGTTCTCCGCTCATGCTAAGGCGAGGGTACCGGCCGGCCGGCCGCTCGCTCGCCTGGACAGTCAGTGTTGACGGTCCAGCGCTTATGACGCGCCAGCAAGCGCGCAGGAGAGCCAGAGCCATATACTCACATTTGCCCACCGCTTTTACTTAGGAGACGGCAGCAGGCGCTGCCACCACCTGCCCAAACGATGACTAAAGTCCCGGGGTCATAAACTCTTATTGGTCGCTAGCACGACTAAAATCGACGAGACATGTATGTGTCCCCACTGACCGAAAGAGTGGGGACTCTCAACTTCTGAAAACTACTTCCCAACGAGCGAATGGGCTCTCTGGGGAAGTAAGAGAGCACGGGGCGGGTCGGCTGAGAGCCTATGGGAAGGGGGCTATAAGGACATGTACAGCGACTCCCGGTATGAGGATCATGAACGAAGGAGTTCTGCCAATTACTGAGATCGTCCTTTCCGAAGAGCTTGGGTCTACGACACCGGCGCTCAATAATTGCGCGCTAAAGCCCCGCAGCGACCTCAGGAGCATTCGTACGTGAAGCTGGTTCAGGGAAGCGAAACTGAATTCTCTCTCGCAATGGAAGGAAAAATATGCTGCTGTCCCGGCGCGCCGGAAAGGTAATCGCTCTCCGTTCTTGGAGCCCAATCACCATTGACCCAAGTTCAATGATAAGAGGGGGGGTCGCGAGGAAAAAACGCTCACCGGTGCCGATGCGTCTCCCACCTTAGCTTCCGGTACTTTACTCTCTGGTGCGACCTGACGTCTTCATGATTTACTCAGCCTATCGTTGACTCCTTGGATCCGTTGCATTGGCGCTGCGCCGGAGTTCCGCTTCGGTGGAGGGACGTATGCTCGATGCTTTCGTAGGGGGGGGATTATCCTCGGAACGACTCGACCCCGGTGCTGCGCAACGCATCGTGAATAAACTCGACTTCGCGCAGTGGATATTCTTCACCTCATTTTACCTATGGGATGGAAGTTGAATGTCCGGTACGCGCCCGACCCACGAGCATACGGCACAATTTATCCGCTTTCCTGTCCACATAGATGAATTCAGGCTCGGTTTCGCCATCAGCCAGCGAATTTCTCCTCCCGAATCGCCAGGTTTAATTCCCCGATTGGCTTGAGTTCCCGGATGCAGGAATCGTCTCGGAACTCTTACTCGAAAGACACTGTGTTGAAAGGAGCGAGTTCGAGGTTCGAGCGAGTCGGCGGAATTCGATACAAGTCGAACGCGCCTGCGATTGACGTCGACCTCCGCACTCGAAGTGGGAGACGTCTGTGTTCCGCTCGTTTTTCAGAAGTTCTGCGAGTCCGCTTTGTGACGGTGTGTTTTTCGCTCCAGTACGGGAGACACTCGGTTTTAGAATACCCGATGAAAGACAATCGGTACAGGCTCGGAGAAACCGGCTCTTAGTTCACTGAGCTCGACGGGACGACGTGAATGATTTTAAGACAAACCCCTCGTCGGGAAGCGGTCGAGACAGGACGAAACTCTGTAACGAGCGTTTCTTCTCCGCGTGGTGGTAGGGACGCTGCAGCCGATCAAATGTCATGATCTGGAAACGGAGTGTCAAACTACAACCTGAGGCGGGGATTGAAAGAGAACGTCCCGATCCTATCGGCCGGTCTCTAGAGACTTTTTTGTGTGTTTCTTCTTCCATTCATGGAAGTGTCGTCGGTGCAGACGCCGGCCGCCGCAGCTGGGGAAAGGCAGGACTAACAGTCAGCCGCCCACCATCCAACTTATTCGACCCGCCATCCAACCGAACGACAGATCGAGGGGACAAACGAAAAATTGAGACAACAAGATGGACAGCGAGAAGGTCTCCTGGGAGGAATATTTCAATCGTGTTGACATTCGTGCGTCATTCACTCATTCAGACGGGCCGTCGTCTGCCGTCCTACGCTGTACGTCACCGGACTCGCGGAGCGCGCCATGCGTACCGTTGGGCGAACGCTTCCCGGACATGCCATTAAGAAGAGAGATCTGACATTACGACACTTAATCATTGCAACATTCTCGCCGCGAACAACTTGCCGAGATCATTAGCAAGTTTTCATTTATTGCAACCCTCTGACCGAATCATAGCGAGTAGCCACGAAACTCTGCGAGGGATTCCCTTGTCCGAAAGTATTTCTCAGAAATCGAAGCGGAAACAATCATTGAGCGCTGGGTGAGCGCTCGATGTTCCGAGACGAAGACCCACCGCGAAACTTACGACTTTCCGTCTCGTTCTTCGACGTAGCTTCCGGCTCCGTTGAGCTGTGGCTTGAAAGAAAATCGTGGAGTTCGATAGACCTATTCTCGTTCCTTAAAAAGAGAAGGGTGAAGCCGAATTCCGGTCTTCCCGAATCTGGATTGGGATAAGGAGCAGGGAGGAAGGAAAAATGAGCACGGAAAAAAACACCAATGCGGCGAGGTAAGCAGGACATGGACAAGAAGAAAAGCGCGGTGCTGTGAGCAGACGGCCGATCGGGAGAACAAGGATTTTTCTTCCTATTCGACATCCTGGATGAAAATGGCTGCGGCCGCCGATGGTGGGAACAGGCAGGCGGTCGGTCGGGCAGACAGGCAGCCGGGCGAGCAAGACAGCGAAGAAAGCGCCGGCAGCACTGGCTGCGCGAGGACTAATTTCAAGATAAGAGTATGTCTTGTCGACCTCAAAAGGAAGATCTTGAACACAGCGACGAGAGAGGCCTCACTTGCCCCGAACGACTATGAAGCGCCTGCGGAAGAGCAAGACCATCTCCTGATCTCGGCAACTTCAGTCAATTCCCGCCGCTTGGCTGCGTGGAATGAAGACAGGTCCTTTCCATTCATCCACCCATTGTCTTTTCTGATCTCAACCCCGGACAACTCTCTACTCGCTCGTTATTCATGGAGTCGCTACTTTCGTGCTCCCAGACCAGGAGTCGCGGGCTTCTGCGGCTCGAATAATTCTCATGTGATCGATGCATAAACATTCCAATCATTCGATACGACTCTTATCAATCAAGAAAACGAGATATAGAGCAATTGATCCTTCCGAGATCCGATTGCACCGAATTTCTATTATCTGTCCCGAATCCGAGCGGGTCGTTTTCTTTCATCTCTGCTCATGACTTTTGTCGCATCCCTCGGTGAACTTCGAGAACTCAGAATGTTCGGAGGAAATGCGAGACTCCATTTCCGCTGCTTGCTGCCATTGTTTCTCAGCCAGTGCATCGCTCGTGTTTTTCCAAGAGACTGAACGCGATGCTCCCAGAGAGAAAGGTGGCGCCGATCCTTCTCACGGAAAAAACGTCCCCCACAAGAAACTTCACGCTCGGGAAAAACGCCTGTGATAGCCGCTCGCAACCGAAGTGGTCGTCTGGTTTCCCACTCGGTCGTCATTCTCATAAAACAGAGACAACGAAAGCATCCGCTCGACGGTCGTTGTTATTTTCTCTCCGTTTTCTACGCGAGCCTCCACCCCATCGCCGGCTCATCAATTCACTTTTCCGTTCAGCCGATTCGAGTTGCTGAGCGGTGCGCTCGGTGCAAGGAAGAGATCGCCACCAGATGACATCTTCCTCTAAGAGGGAGTTCCCTGATTGAAACTTTCCCCTTGGAGCCTCGAGCGGCAGCCTCGCTTGTTCCTCGGGGGTTTCTCCCCCATTTAACCCATCCGTTCCGGCTCCGCTCCTCGGATTCCGGGATCATACTCCCGAGCCACGCAGCATACAGACTGGAATCGTGTTTTCCGAGACGGCATCGCCATGTTTCCGATGGGTCCTGAGACGCACCGGATCCCTAGAGGTTGCCGAAGCCCCGCACGCGACTCGAGAAAGTTTTCTCTTCCCTTTACTTCATGATCGAACATTAATCTCGCGTAGGTTGCGTGCTAGGCTAATAGCATCATATACATAACCTGGGAATGCCAGTCGATAAGTCCTTGCGTCTACTGCTTGAAGGCAGCGTGTTTGCGAGACGACCCGCGTCGAACCCGTCGCGGCCGACGAGTCCCTCGCCTCCGATACTGCCCTAATGGAACAACTCGATTAAGGTGAACGCCGACCTTAAGTCTTCACAAGGGAGGGCAATACAGAAGCTTTCTTATAGCGCTGTAGTGAATCATAACGGTCTTGAGTTACCCGAGTCCGGGATCAATGTCACCCTGTGCAGGAGTGGCTGCCTTCGATGGCAGAGTACAATCGAGCCGAGTTTCATCGGTAATTATTTTGCCGAACGCACTTCCCATCGGCTACTCCGGCAGCATCATGATTAAAATCCTTCGTCGCTTCCCTTTTTTCTTCACGCTAAGTCAAGTCTCCCTCATGAGTAGCGCGGACCCATATCCGCGGATAACACTACCGATAGGTGCTCCTAAAACGTAGATAATGCGCTTGATAAGACTCCCCCAGATGGAGCTGAATCCTCCGAAGACGACATGACTTAAGAGAGATACTCATTGCAGGTTCGGCTGAAACTCGCGAGCATCTCCAAGGAATTCAGTCTAGGCGGTCAGGAGAAAATCAGTGATCTCCGATGGCATGAAGTGATGGTGTTCTATAAGTCCGGGCACAACGTGAGCATGGCTCTGGATCAGCAATACACAACGCATCATCTGCCAATCGCGAACGGTGAGTCCGAACGAATCTCGCACAGGCGCCAAGTCTACCCCCTCGGTTTTCCTAAATCTTGGGGGTTCAAAGTTCCGATACGCTCGAGCTCGGATGATAATGTATTCGGGGCCCGTCGCCGGGCCATTTCGTCGGGTCAAGGGCTGACAGCGGAGGCTGATTCGATCACCCTCTCGGCGAGATTTCGGGGTTACTCGCGAAAAACTGATGGAAGTGAGAAGCGGGACTCCGTTTGAGATAACTCTCCAAGGCCTTCGTCGAGAACCCCTCCGAGCTTCTCACTTGAGCCACCACTGGAGATCCTGGAATGAAGCTCACTGACGTTCCGAGAGAAAATTCCGCCTTAGTGCGGCTGGCGGACAGGGAAACGAATTGCTCCACGTTAGTTCCCGCAGTCTGCTCGTTTGGAACTGACGACATCAACGACGTCAACGTCAACGACCGAAGCCGTAATCCGCTTTGCCGTGGAAAGCTGGTCGACTAGGCGAGTTAGTTGACTGACGGGTAGCTGGGTGGCCTGACTTACTTGCTGGTCGGCCGTAGTACGTGAATATTTGTCTTCCTTTCTCACCGCCTAAGCGTCGGCGTGAGCGCGCAGCTTGTCTCTCAAACATTCCTCCAACTTCCCGAACTCCTTGCTTACTTCTTCCTGAAAGGAGAAAAATAGCTGGGCTCGAAGAAGCCCTGGGCATGGCGAGAAGATCGAATTGAGCTGGAAACCAGCCGAACTTGCCGGGATTTACACCGCACAGGCCTTCCACGAATCACCCTGAGGGGGGAAACGGGGAGATGGAGGAGAGTGTGGCGAGCCAGCGAGAGAGAGCAGGGCATAGATGGCGTAAACGATGGGTCTGAGACGTAGGGGGCAAGGATCGGGGGGTGGATCGGGGACAGGTGAGACACGGGGTGAAAGTCAGAATCTCATGGGAGAGGAAGCTCATCAAGAAATGAGCGGAGAAAACACGTGAATGAATTAGGCGAAACATCCGCGGTAGTCGTTGCCTTGCGCTACCGCTCGCCAAGGTCCCAATATTCGCGAGTGAAGGCGGGAGCCAGCGAGTTCTCCGGGAGAGGCTGAACGCATCCTGGGAGGGAATCGTTCGGAAATCCGGAAGAAGCCCTCGCGCACATAACCTGCCTCGCACAAGTAGCACCGTTCCACGGAGCTAGATGCGCGTTTCTGACGGTAGAGTCAGTTTAGCTGAGAATCTGACTGCTCTGAGCTTCCTTTGCTGGAAGTTCGAATACAGCGGAATGAGAACAAAACTGCAAGCGATTCGGAGGGTGTATCTCTTGGGCGGGGAGAAGCCTCCCATTATTTCTCGGGAAGACTGCAGGATACCCGGAACAAGCGCTGGAAAAATTCCTTGACAGAAGAGTCCGGAGGCGGAGCGGTCTTGGGGAAGAAAATCTTTAGACTGGCGGAGGAATCGAATCAATCTTCAGCGGGGAGACATGGCGAGTAGGGGGGAGCCATGCTAACACACTCCGGGATCGGTTGTCGAATTTCGTCCGAATAGAACTACGGGCCACCACACATTCCATTGATGGGAATGATGAGAGTCCCTTGAGTTATCAGCCTCGGGAAGGGATCGGAGCATTTGAAGACGCTTATACACGGAATGGGTCTGGAGAGGATTTGCTCTCGTGTCACTCTGCGCTCCACACAATAGCTCCACTGCGGATCCTGTCCCACCCGTAGGACGGAGCAGCCGGCTGGGTTCATCGATTCCGATTTTTTTGCTCCGAGTTCGTGAACCGTTCCCTTGCAAGCCCTGACAAATAACTCCAGTCATGGCTTGCCTAAATCGGGGGAGGACGGCGCGCAAGTGCAGAGGCGCAGACCTCGAGGACTGGTTGACCCGTATATCAAATCCGCTTCCTATAACCCTATTGCCGCCAGCCTTCTACCGCCAGCGTCTTCATTCCTCCGTGGGAACGGACGCTCTGAGAAGTTCGTTCGGACGGACGAACCAGCTGCAAGTGCAGACAGTCCCATCTGGCCTCACTCAACCGTCGAGCCGGGCAGACGACCGAATGAGCAAGCAAGGCAGACAGCCACCGATCTGGCGGGGTGGAGGCAAGCGGAACAGCCGCTCCTTCCCCTCTCATCTGGAATGAGAGACGAGAAGAATATGCTTTAGCGGCGGGACCTTGGCAAAAGATATTCGGTAGTATGCATCGAGCGGTGCATACTAGTTACCATACTCTTGCGCCATGATGACGAGCCACTCCGAGCTATCCTAGATGCAGGCCGTGCTGATAACGTGTTCAGATGCTTTTCGGGAGCTTCTGTTTTTCTAGTCCGAGAGCCGGAAGTTTATGCACGCTAGAAGTATCGCTCAACTATGTGGATCCGACAGGCTGGGAAACACAAGGAGTCGCTTGTTCATTGACGTTTCGGTCCCCGGTGCGAAAACGGAATTTGCACTCCCATGCCATTACCCTCCTCTTCTTTGTTGGTGCACATGCTCATATAGTTTGAGAGAACGTTCAACGAAGATCTCATAGACCTCGGATCGGGATGATTGCAACGTCGTATCCGACTGGCTCGCCTGACTCGTCCCGCAGCTCGCCGAGTGCATGCTCCGTGTCTGTTCGCCTCTTCCGGCGAGATACGTACCTACGAAGAGAGGGACTCCGTCGCTGGCAGTCGGCGCTCGCTCCGATGGGTGTTCAGTCGCACCTTAAGGGCTTGTCTCCGTCCTTCTGCTCATTTTCCTCCCATCCGCGCTCGGCCTCCTCCTCCTGAGCCGTTACGCTGTTCCTCTCCGCCAGCGAAAAACGTAATAGTACAATAAATCTGTCACATGGTTCGCTTTGTCGTTTCCAGAAGAGGCTCAGTCGCTTTCTCTCCCACGTTTCCTCCCACAAAGCACCTCTGCCGCTTCCGCGCTATCTGCATCGGTATCGCGATCTCTATGGCTCGGGGTCTCACGTCTATTCCCGGCAACCCGTTCCGGTGCACCCATCGCTGCGAGAAGCCGGAACGAGTCGTGGGCTCCCTTCAGAGATTGGGAGATGACGCTGACTCATCATACGCTTAGCCACCCGTAATCTATCATCGTGACGCTCTCCCGTAAATCGAGCGATTTCGAAGATCGAGACTTCTGTTCTCCTTTCTCCTCGAGTTCCGGAGTGCCGACTGGGAACCCGAGAAAGGTAGCCGGTACACGGAAACACGGAAATGATGATCTCTCTGCTCGATACAACGCCGTGCGGCACGAATGGCATGCAATAAACGGTGCTTGCGGTGGCCATTCTATACAGGCCGTCGCGTGAGGGTGAGAACATAAATCATCGCCAACTACGAACGCTCACGGTCTCTCTCGGCCTGTCTCCTCCCAGGGAGCGCCACTCGCCCCATTTAGAGCCCCGATGCAGCGTGCCGACATTAGCCGGAACCTTGCATCCGAGCAGGCTCCCGATCCTGGTCCGAATCTCCGGTCGAGTTTCTGACAAATGAATGAGCTCTTGGATGGCCGTTCTAACGGGCAAAAGTACAGACCCACCGAAAGCGAAGTCAATTTTCGGTGAGGGCGTCGTCTCGCTGCTGATAACAGACTAAGGAGCTATTCATCTCTCGCGCATCTAATTCCTCATCGCTCATTATCCGTGTTTCGCGAGTGTGCGAAGCGCGAACACGCTCGAAGAGGATGAGGACGTCTCGATCCAGCATATCGGCCCTTGCGAAATCAAGCGCTATTGCTGAATGGCTGGAGCTCATACGAGAGCTGCCGCTTGATGTGGTCCAGATATTTTCCTCCGGGCGATCCCTGATGCAGCTCGCCTTCCGTATTTAGCAATCCCTGCCACATCCCCCACGGTCGTGAGGAATTTTTTTCGAGGGGCTTTCGTTTACGTGACTGATCGCGTGAACCCGCGGGAACGGCTCTCAACCCTTCGAGGAGGTGACCGATAACAACACGATGGAGGCCCTTCCTGTTGTCTTCACCTTGTTATTGCGGATCGTGATAGTCACTCGCGGAGTCCTTCTAGCCGTTCGTCGGGCCGCCATGCTGACTGACGCTTCGTTCCATCCTATTCATGCGAGTCGCAGACGAGAAAGTCGACCAAGTGCTCACTTGTTTGCCAGCTTGCTTCTCTACTTGGTTTGCAAGTTTGCCTTGCGTCGCTCGCCCCGGGTCTGTGGCCCATCAAAGTCTTCTCCCCGCGGCCACCCTCCCGTCGTTGTCGTCGACGTCGTCCAGCGGTGGGTGAAGGTCGCGGACCGCTCCGAAAGACAGACTGTTTGCTCTCTTGGAGAGAGGTGAGCAAATATCGAGCCACACTTCCACCCGCTCAGCCATTGCTTACTCTCGTCATCATCAAAGACAGTGTGTGGAAACCCATCCGCGGGCCCATGCGCCCCGCATGTCCATGACCCGCAACGGATTGGAGCTTCCAGGGAAATCGCGCCGCAACGTCATTACACTGGCTACAACGACATCGTAATAGCTCGACATCACACTGCGGGACCCGCAGGGCCAGAGGACGGGGCGAAAGCGGAGGGTAGGTCGCCGTCGATCTCGGGTGCGAAGCCGACGCATATCCCGCGCATGCCGGGTATGGAAGTCAAGTTCCTCCGACATGGCGGACTACATCCAGCTTCCGGCTAGCCCTAACGGAAATTGGCCCCCGACACCTGACGGGAGACCGAGTTGTTGCCTCGCAGAGACCCTCTCGGTCTGTCGGTGCGCCAATAGCCTGCGACGCCGACGTTGCTCCGTCCCGTGCTCGAACATCGCAACAAGATCTCTGCTTGCGAGGGTGCGCCCGAACGCAAAAACCTGAAGATTCTGATCAAGCGTTGAGGGAGTTCTTAAAGAGGAGAGGAGGTCAGTTTGAAGCAACTCTTATCTGCTTTTCCATCTCTGGCGGGAAGAAACTTTTCGCGGAGGAGCTGGGGAGGGTTCGTTTGTCCGAAGTGACGTGGGAGATAATCACAGCTCAGAGCACAAGCAGAGGAAGGCTTCAACAACGAGACAAGCGGGTCTTCCTCTACGCCCTCTGATAGATGGAAGAGCGAATAAAATTTGGTTGCATCGGGACATGATTTATTGTGAGCAAGATAAGCCATTATTTTGATACGTCCGACTCAGCGGAAGCAACGGTCCGCGGTACGCCTCGTTGCTGATAGTGCTCCAACTGCTGCTTCTGCGCTGTTCGATGGGGATTTTGTGGAGACAGCGCTCGGCTTGTGTCGAGGTGAATGAGTTCTGATCCTGGATCGCTTTCTTTCCCGTTGCCTGTTGCAGCCCTCAGACGGCAGGGGGCCCCGCGAACGACCCAGTTCATTCTTGGTTACTCCGGTATTCCTGAGGAGAGGGATTCGTGTCGGATGGCTCTTCTCTTCTGTTAACGTGGAGGGACTTCACTTTCCAGGGGCTTTATCATCTTTGGATCATCCTGGACAAAAAACTACAATTTATGTCGGGAGCCTCGGCGGATATGCGGGACCTCTGTCCACCGGAAGACCCCCCAATTTCCGGGGCTGTCTCGAATCTCTCTATTACAACAACATCAACGTTTTCCACAGGGTCCAAGCGAACAAGAAAACTGGTACGTCCGTCAATAGTCTCGCGGCAGAGATATCTGACGTTATCTCGTGGCTTCTCCATTTCCGGAACCGGTTCACATAGATGAATATCCATCCTTTCGTTCTCAGGTGGTGGAGTGTTGTATGAACTCGAATTTGAGCACCGATGTCCCACGCTCTTTGAAGCCTCCAATACGGACGCCATTTCGTTCACGGACGCCCAGCAATCATTCATCGCGCTGCCTACCTTGCCGGGTAAGGAGATTAACGTCTCGAGCTTAACGCTAATGATCGTTTTATCGCGAAATTTCAGACTGGAGAGCGTCCTCGTTGGCCTCGGGCTCGGGTTGTTAGGAAGACGGAAATCCCACTCGGTCGCATACTTTACGTGTGTCCAATCGGTCACGTCTGATTCTGTGATGCGGGTTCCCACCAATCGAGTCGACTTTGTACCTGCAGCTCCAAAGATATGCGAACGTGGGGTCCGATTCGAAGATTGTATGACAGTGACATAAGCTTTTCCCGTGACGCAATCTGGAAATCCTCGAAATCCAACCGCCAAGATCAAGTAATTCCAACCTTCATTCGGGATACCTCCGGATGTTCTCGGAGGAATCAACCACGAGTCGCGCCGGATGGCTCGGAGTTTTGAGCATTCGAAAATGCCGTACGATGGCACTGTTTGAGGATTTGCATAAACACGTTTGTGGGAATAGGTCCACAATGCGTATCGAATGCCACTCATGCTCGTCCGCGGACGCGTATGGGTTCTGGCTTACGCATATTTTCCCGACTTTCCGCTTTTCGCGCTTTGAGGCTTCCTCGGGACTCCGCTATCGGATGAGATCCCCGATAAGAGGGAAATTATTTTTTTCCTCGTCTCCTCAAGGAGCGTCGATGGACGGACGGAGCATCATTTTCGATTTTTTCCCGCGGTACGATTGGTCCCTCTTTCTCTCGGCCGCATTCTGCCCCTCCTGCTGGCGGTTCCCAGGAGCCTTTAACAGTTGCGGCCTGCTTTTCCCAAATATCGAAACTGACTCGGCTCCATCGGATGGCTCGATAGTTTGCGCCGTAGGCTGCGAACTGACTGGCAACGATATTGGCTTGAACTTTTATTGCTCAGCGCCTTCACAAGTCTCCGTTCTTTTCTCGTCTTGTCTCTCCTCCTCAATCCTCGCCTCCGCGATCCGGCCAGACTCCGACGGAGCGGCAGTCCGGGTCGCCCCCGCGGGGAGACTCTTCGAGAGGCACCTATAAGACAGGGGCTTATTGGGGATCTTGCTGGAAGACGCGTTGCGAACTCCCTGCAGATTCCGTTGGGGAACTCTATGCGAGTTATTCGCAAACTCCGGCGGAGCTTTGGCTCGCGTGTTTTTTTGCAGATTCCTACGGGCGGACAACTGCTGGCAAACGCCGGCCGGCACCGTCAGTTCCCCTTCCATGCGATTCCCTCCTGGTCTTCGTCAGCCAGTCGTTCCGCTTTCCCGCGGACTTGCGATGCGAGTCGGAGGGGGCCTATGCTACTCCGGATCGATGGCGAGCCCTTTTCTCTCCGCACATCCGTCGTTTCTCGCTATCGTGAATCTACCCTCCTCACGTCTGTATTGTTGTGGGTCGAGAGAGGGATCAGCCGGCATCATGAGGCGTTGACCGGACGGAGACGCCTTTGTATCGAGGCCCGGCGTTTCCCTTTGTCGATCTTGTCCCCCTCGCTGCTCGGTCTATATGTAACTTGGAAAGTGAGTATCGTCCCATATCGTCGTAGACCGCACCATGGCCGAGACGTTCTCCGCGACAAAAGTAGTTGCACTACTAATGCCGATGAGAGACGCATGTCATGAGTGTCTCCGATAGAGGACATCGAGGCGACCCCCAGCTTGGTGAAAGCAGGCACTGGACAAGGACCAAAGCGAGGGAATGCGGCTGGGGGGTAAAGCGACAAAGTCGGCAAGAGATTGGGCGACTCGAACCAGCCTCTTGTCGAGACATCTGTTCGTTTTTTCTGACATCCTCCTCAAGCATCGAGCTCGTTCAAGTTCGCCCTTCGTTGGCGGGCGATGGAGGGAAGCTTCGGAGAAGGGAAGCTACGGACTGATTCAGCGGATGACCAGCGTTCCGGCGACTAGGGAAAGACTCACGTCTGAGAGAAGGGGAAAACTCACAAGCTGGCAAACAGGCAGACAGGCAGCATCGACTCAAAGTAAACTGTTCGTGTTAGAGACCTGTGGGACGGAACATGCGGGAGCGGAAATACGAGCCTCGTATAGCGTCCGAGCTGGAGGGAGCACATGGTAGGGAGGGGGAAACAAGTCCGAGGAGAACATGACGAGACGGAGATGCCGTTCGGGAGCTCAGGGCGGATGACAAAGTGAAAAACGGCTGTCAGGAAAATGCGACTCAGCGGACCATGCGAAAGTTTGAGCTTTATCCTTCTCGTCAGTCATATAGACGGTCTGTCGGATCTATGGATGTACCGAGAAACTTCCATGTCGCGCGATTCGCATTTCCTTGTGCTCTGCTTCCACCCCCATTTTCCCCATCCGGTCCTTTCGAGCTCGCCTTCCATGGTGTGCTCTTCCTCATCTCTTAGATTCACTTTCTAAGTGAATCGAAAAGAAAGTGAAAGCGGGGTTTCACTTTCTCCCGCTTACCTTTTTCCAATCGCATCCCTTGATTGATCTCGCTTCACCTCTTCTTCTCGAGCTTTCCTGCAGGGAGGTATCTTTTCGCAAACTCGTTGGATGCAAAGCCCACCAATCAGCATTGACATTTGCTCCATTCGGCGGAATAGCGATGTCAGACAAGTTCCGGAATTGGTCCATATAAACGAGCTGTAGGTGGGGGCTGATTCGGTGGGAGCAAACGAGATTCAACGATAGTTCGGACAATGATATTCAAAATGCATGTACCTATCCTTGTGTTCCATCATATCCCCATCAGAAAGTTCTGATCGGCAACAGCTGTTGCACTGCGTCCCTTTCCATGATCAGCTCCCATGCTCTTCCCCTCCTGTCGTGAAGTCGATTTCGTCAGGAGCAAGCAATCGAGACGATGTCTAAGCTGGACGTGAGCTCCTTCTACACGGAAGGCTTGTTAGTTCTGCCTCCGAGAGCATCCGGAGGGAAACTCTTTCCGCATAGCCTGCGCACTGGGAGTGGCTTATCGTCATTGTCGCCATCGAGCTTGTCTGGCGTTCAGGTCGTCTCATAGAGACGAGAGATCGTTCTGAGCTCTGTTTCCAGGTCTGACAGTATACTCTTGTCGAATGGCTCTCCCTCGGCCTGGTTGAGTGGCTGGTTCGCTCGAGCAGATTCAAACAATGCCTCACCGGGTTCATCCTCTTTTTCCTCGTCGTCCTCCTCCTGTCCTCTCCAGATTCCTGAAAAGCGTGCCTCTCTCTACTTTCGTTCTTTCTCGTGTGTTTTTCCCTTTCTGTACGTCAGGGTGGCTTCCTCCGTTGTTTGCACAGAGCTTCGGTCGACTCTTCTTTCCAACGAGCGCACGTCGAGGGTGGAGGAGAGCCAGAGGGTTTGACGCCCGGTTTGCTCCGCGGGCCGACCCGCTGCAGTTAGGCTCCGAGGCGCAAACTTACCTCCCGTACGACACGTGACTTGCTTGTTAGCATGGTCCTGTACGCTCTCTGACGGTCGCAGGACCAGCCGCCGGACTTAAGTCACAGCGATCGAAGTCATCTTTGTATGTTCCGTCCCGTTGCACGATGGAATTTATTGTCATCGGTCGCTCGACCCGTCGGCGTCGACCGGACCGAGCTACTTGCAAGTCCACCTGCCGACGTCTTCGGTCGTTTCTTTCACGGAACTAACCAGATTATCTGCCGTCCAGACGACGTGAGCCGACTCCCACATTTGTTCGCCGATCTCGTATCGCGTTGAGAGGAAGTGAAAGAAATGCCTAGTTATTTATATGACCGGAACTCTGATACCTCGTTGTACAGGATCCCTCCGGACCTCAGTCGAAAAGTTATCGTTCCCGTGAATTTCCCGCTCGGATCGCACAGAAAAAATGCAACGACGAAATGAAACTACTGTGTGATTCTCGCGCAGACGGAGACCTGGCGTGTCCTTGAAGGATAATTATCGAGAAAATCATCTGGATGACTGTATTTTCACCCGCGGGCCTCCCTGTCCGAATCCTCTGAGTCGAGCATGAGAGCCTCGAACTCCGACCTCGGCGACCGAGAAAAGCTTCAGAGTGCACCGAAAATATTGGAGTGCAGAATGAAAAATTTCGCTGACAGGTCACAGCGTTGCCGGTTTTTAGGTCGAATAATGGATGACCGTTCGTTCCGTTCCAGATTGTTCCCGAGGACTCCAGTTGAACATGCAGTTCCAAAGCAGCACGTCACGGGGCCTGTTGGCTTACCAATCGGGCCGTCGAAGCGTCTTGGCACTCGAGCTCGACGACGGACGGGTGAATCTTCTTTTCAAATTCGGTGGGGAACTGCACACTTTGACAAGTCCTCACAGAGTCACCGACGCTCACTGGCACAAACTGCAAGTGGAACTGCAAGCGAACGGAAGTGTTGTCTTCTACGTTGACACGAACAAAATCACTTGGGATGGTAAGTGTCTTCTATAAGAGAGATTCGCTTCCGTGTCACGCGGCGCTTCTGCTTCTGTGAGCAACGAGGCGTCATGGACGTGAAGTCCAACATCGGCTGGTGCATCAGGGGTCTTCAATCCGTGAGTGACGGGGAGAAAAAGGCTAACGATGCGGTATTTCCGTTCGCGTTAAGATCATCGTTTTTCCTAAAAACGGCCGAGCGGGATTCTACGACTAAATATAGAAGGTATCGCGGGGATTTTTGCTCGTGCCGGAGAACAGGTGGGACGAATGAGTTCAGCAGAAATGACTAACTTTTTCTGTCGCATCAGCCTATGGCTGAACACCGACCCGGTGTAGAATGTACCGTGAGCAGACCGCCGAGACCACTCTCCCCGTGTCCGACCTCGGAGGAGCGGGAATGAACCGGCGGGCGCCGGCACGGCGTCGAGAATTTTCTGCGAACCTTTTTGTGGAATCCCTCCAAGTCGTTGATGTTGATCTCCTCGCCCGATTCCGTCTAGAACGAGTGAGGAAGGCGCCTAATCTGCCTTCTGCTACTTGAGCTCGCCTGCATCGTAGTAATGACCCAGGCGACTCCTAATGGGATCGGATGGACCTATAGGATGAGCTAATTGGAGCAGGAACGCCAAGTCGGATGACCAGCCCTGATCAGCAGAACAGCGAGCGAGTCTTGCGACAGCAGCAGACCTTCACCACCGAATGGGGAACGAATCGATTCGACGAGAATGAGAATTCCTGTCGGAACTCTAGGAAGTACACCTAAAAAGCAAATAGAGCCTCCCCTCCGTGAGAGTTTGGCGGTGGCGGCCAGTGAGGAATGGAGGGAGGAGGGGAGGGAACAAACTGAACATCGAACGAGAAATGAAGAAGGGAACTCCGAAGAACACTCTGAGTGTAGTTCCCCGATTGCCGTTGTACTGGCATCACGAACTCTGCGCGAAGCCTTCCTCACGGCTCGTTGGCAAATCTCGAGTTCAATGAGCTCGACTCGAACCTTCCCCCATGAGGCGCAAAGAAGGGAATTCCCGATCAAGATCGCCGCACCACAAAGAGTCTATTTCCAGTGGACTTATAATTTCCTTCGGGGGTACGATTTTTTACTTTACGTCGCCGGGTGAATGATCTATGCACGGATCATGGTCCGAATCGAATCGGCGATTCTGAAGAGAGGGCTATTTCATGTCGACCCGGAGGGTACTGCACCAGATATCTTGCGGCTTCCACATCGATATGGGGAGGGGTACTAATTTTCTCGAGGATCTGGGGGTTCGGTAGTATTTCGCGATCGATACCTAGCAAAAAAAAGAACGAGGAGGACATTCCGTAGCCAATTATTTGTGTTGGATGAGATCAAACCTTCATGAGCGGGCGAAGTCTATTCAAGCAGCTTCCTCGCTGGCCGCGATAGGTGCACTGCGATCCGTCTTTCCGAGTTGGCGACGCTCTTGTTGTGTTTGTTATACAGACCGTTGTCCTCGCATAGTTTGATAGTTTGTGAGGTCCAACGACGAAGAGGACGATGTATGAAGCACCGGTGGTCCGGGAGTGGAGAGTAGGTGCCAATGACCGCCAAGCATCCCACGTTCTTCAAAAACGTGGAAATCCTAGCGGATGCGTCCATTCGCCCAGGAGCAGCGAGATAGTCTCCGAGCTGATTCCCGCACGGACCGAGATGGGAGGCTTGAGCCAATTAGTTCTCGCAAAGCGTAACTACCCAAACGATGAACTACGATTTGGTGACGTCGTCAACGCGCGAGCTCTCAGTCGCGTCGACTGTCAGACGCAGCCAGTAGTTCGCCTGGAGCGTGGGACCCATCCAGAGCCCGGTTGTGTGTTCAACCGGTCCCGGAAGGGCGAGAACTATAGATGAGGGAGGAGCAATGACTGCCAAATGTTTGCTCGTAACGAGACAATCTTCGTCTTTTCTGTAGAGAGATCATATTAGAGCGATAACAAATCGAATTAGTCTTGGTCCTCATCCCGTAGTCGTTGTTGTTCTTGTCGCCGCTCTCATCGCGGTGTGCTCTGTTGTTGTTACTGTCGTCGTCGTCGTCGTCACCACCCTCACTGCAGGCTCGTCCAGGCTGCGGTGAGAGCTGCGTTACGCAGGCTGCTCCCGGAGGGGGTTGTTGCACACGGTAGACGGATAGACCCTTCTCTGTTAGCCTCGGGCCGTGTCTTCAGCTGCGATGGGCTGCTGTGGCTGGTCGGCAGCGAACTTCCGCTAGATTTGGCCTAATGGCCTTAAATACATCTTCTCACGATCTTCCGTGCACATCTTCCGGTCCGCTCAAGCGTCCGCTCGCTCACTGGCGAAGAGTATATGGACCACTTGCAGCGCGCTCGCTCCGTCGACCAGATAGAAGTATGCTTACAAATTGACGTGAAGACCCACGATTCACATTACGATCGCCCCTGGGTGAGCAGGAACACGATAACCCTTTCCGTAAGCTGACCGGCCGACGCGTGGGCGATACGGAAGGAAAGGAGATTGAGGAAAAAATTAACAGCACTCACATTCAACCTTTCGCCAGCTTGACTAGGTCGTGTATCGGTACTCGCAGGACGCCACGCAGGGATGTTCTTCGTTGGAATAGCCGATAACACCGGTCACGTTCGGGAGAGCCCATTGACACTGCGAGGTGGTGGGTTTCCCGCTCGCTCAAATTTCTCAATTGAAAATCGAGAGCTGCCTATACGTAAGGACGCTCGGCTCGCCAAGTCCAGCGGTCGGGCTTCCGGTGATCCGTACGGGGTAGTGTACGTTGGAAACTTGCATTGAAAATACTTGGGTCGAGAGACCTACCTGCAGGGCCTGGTCGTCTCCTTGATACAAAATCTCCTGAAGTGCTTTTTCGAGATCCTTGTCTTGCCAAGCTTTTTCGTCGGCGTCATCGGGGTCAGGAGCAGAGCTCGAGGTCTCTTGAGTGGTGAGCCGACTATTCATGACGACGTTGGGGAAACACGCAAGCGCCACGCTTGTGAGGAGAGTCTTCATCTGAAAGTTTTTAGGGAAAAAATAACTACACTCGCTGGCTGCCAATCCTGTTGGAAAGCCGTGCTTGCCTCCGCTTGTTTGGAGCAGTTGCAGACAAGAGTCCGTCCGTCTCCCGGGGAAATATCACGTATCTTGTGGGCGGAAAACTCTCTTCCAAAGAATCTCATCATTGCGTCTCGTATACCGCACTGAGACGACGATGGGACGAGTCATCTCTACGGATGATTTCATGGAATCGCAAGCCCTATCGGGAGAAAACCATCGAGTTCTGGAACCCGCGAGAAATGCCCACTCCCACCCAATCCGTCTCCGATTGAAACGCCACCCCGTAAACTATCCCGTCGCTTTTGAGACACGACGCTCCTCTGGAGCTCGAGCTGACGGTCTGCCGATCGCAAACCGACACTCTTCCGGAAGAAATCGAGCTCTGAATTAATCCGCGGCTTCCTCTCCACGAACGATGTGGTTCACAGCGGAGAGCAGTTTTTCTTCTTCAATTTACACAATCGCGGAGCCCGATAAGCGATAATTGATAAATGGCCTTGCGATGAGCGCTCAAACAGATATTCGTCCCATTGATTCGTCAATTTGTCGAAGCATTCGTCAGTTCGGACAAACGGAACGACAGCGGCGCACGGATGCCGCTCGGATCGATTCTACGTAGGTGGCATGAAAGTGTCACTGTACTGAAATGGCTGGAGATTCGGTGATAAACTTGTCAATGAGCGGCGATGGGTCAAGCCGAGGGATCGGCGGTCCGAATTGAAAGCCGGAGCTCGAGAAGAGCACTTTGGACTTCAATATCGAAGTCTTTGTTGCCGTCGGCGAGAGCCCCGTGGAAAGGCGAGTGGACGGGTGGGCAACTTCGAGGAACAAATTAACTTCGACGGAGCCAGAGGGGGAGAGGAGTGCAAGAAGCCGAGTGACACTCTGAACGAGGGGGAGCCCGCCGGCCGACCGCCCCTCCGTCTGTTCGACCTGCGGCGGCGGACGATTTGCCTCAGAGGCTTTCTCGACAGTTTTGAGGTTGCCCAGAAGGGCTTTTTCTGTTCTTCCTTCTTTTATTTACCGTCTGCGAACGGTTTCTGCTACGAACACCTACGCCCCTGAAGGACTCGCAGGATCATCAACGGCGCGCTCAGCTCCGAATGAGCGTCCCCGGAGCACGCTCGTCCGTCGTGTTTCTGTCGAAGCAATTACGATGTGGAGACGGACACCTGCTGACCCGAACTTCCTTTCAGCCCGAGCGGTGGGAGCGTCGCTGCCGCTCGGAACAATGCGGCTGTCTTCGGTGAACGGGTGATGGCTGAGGCTTCGGCGCGGGCTGGAGATATTCTCAGTCTTGCAAGTACTTAATCACAGCGAGCACACTCGTATAGTGAACAATGATCGAGTGCCGCTCGTTGAGAAAGACGCCAGAGACGAAGTTCGTTCGAGGCAAAGTCATAAGTCGAATCCGATGAGCGGAGAAGCAAAAGCCTGTCGGTCCGCCGGGGGAAAGAAAGGAAGAATTCTGATCATGAGATAATTGGATCCTGTTGGTGAGGAGAATCGAGGACAAGATAAGGGTCGAGGTGACGTCTTGAGTCTGCGGTTGACGGGGGCGTTTATATCTCTTTGAGGATATCGACGCCGCCTTGTGACGTCGATGTCGTAGTCGCCGTTGTCATCATCGTTGCTGCTCAAGTGGTTTTCCCGCTGCGGAGTCCAGCTCCGGGGCTTTTGTTCGGGAATCAGGCGGATTGCTGCATTCAGAGAATGAGAAGGCTTGAAGAGATAAGCTCGCGATATCCCGACGAGATAGGCCGCTGACTCCGCCGAGAGGGACTATGCGCTTCGAAGCTGCGATGATTATGAAAAAATGTCACCATCGAGCTGGAGGCGGCTGTACTTAACATTTTCGATGAGTTTAGACGAGGGTGTATCCTGACAGTCTCTTGACGGTAACATAGTACCGGAGAGACAGATCGAGGAGATCGGAGGATACACGGCAATACATAAATCGCACTTATAGCCTCTTCACGCTTCATAGAACACTCCGAAAACTTGGTTGTTTGATGCTATTCGCCGCGCTATCTATCCCGTTTAATAACCGGGCAAGCGGAAGGACGATCGACCCGCCGAACGGAGCGTACGAATGGACGAACCAATGAGCGGGTGAGAAATAGCCAACTTCGCCTCGTATCAGATATATCGGACAGACGTATGATCGGGCACACCGAAAAGCAATACGATGAACAGAATCTTAGGCTGCCGACTTGTTCCTAGTGATTCCCGATCGAATGTTCTAGGAAATATCTCTCCAGAGCTTGTAAGAAATCAGAAATTCGTAAGCTTCGGGTTCTGAGGGAATTTCTCGATCTCGATGAACCAGTTCTGGTTCAACGTGAGGCGTCGTCAGACTCGGGAATTGAACCTCGGCAGAGAGGCCTATCCTACATCAGGATCACGCTTCGTTCGACGCAGGAGTAGGAAGGGGTCGCTTGCCGTTTGTATATGTACCTTCGCCCCAGGAGAATGTTTGAGTGGAGGCTGCCGGCGTAAACACGAACGGAGGAAGCTCGTGGGCATTCGGCGGGCTCTCGCCCAGGAACTACTGTTAAGTTTTTGTTCTGGTACAATGAGCGGGCAACTTCCCCTCGCTCGGATGTGACGTCGGAAAAACCTTCGTTTTCCAAAGTGCTGCTTTTCATTGTCAATGTCGCCGCTGCGCGTTGTCGTCGTTGGCGTTATTCAACAAGGTCATGATTTCCAAGAGCCGTTTTTTGCGTCGCTTGGCAGACGCCATGACCGTGAATACCGACGCCTACGCGTTCATGAGATATTCACGCCGCTGGAGCGGATTTATCTCGACGTGATGATGATAGGCTACAGAATCATCGTTTTCAGCGTCCTGAACGACAGCCATGCGGAAGAGCGAGCTCAACGACGGCGTACTGGCATAACATTGCGAAGGCTTTTCTGCTCGGTGCGGAGCCATAATCCATCCATGATACTCGACTACCTAGATCTCCCCGATCGAAGCGGGTGTTCGCCTCATGAAAGTCAGATCGAGCGGATATCAGATGCATCGTTATTGAGACTTTGATCAATGCATCGATTCGACCGATGTTTACAAAAAAACATCGAAAGGCACGACGACTCGGCATGGTGGCAGCCATCGCGTTCGCCCCCAGCGGCTATGGGCCCGCAATGGATCACTCCGCGTATTTTCATGGATCGTGTTCCAAATGACGCGATTTCGGCCCGACCGACCGAATGAATCAATGGAGTCTCCTCCACTCCGCCACCAATCGTGACTTCCGCAAGCCTCGGGCGCGATGATCTTCGGAGTTGACCTAGGCGGAAAAAATCAAACACCCCGTGATTGATCGATGCCTAGAGCAGCGTGCGATTTTTATGTTCGCTGCTGAAAGGGTCAATACATTAGGCCGCCTCCGCTGCTACGAGCACCACCATCGGAGTTGCAGCGTTCGACTGTACTTCGGGAAGGTGATCCCTGCGAAGCGGTGAAGCTGCCCGGTCTAGGATCAGGATTCTGCTTCCGAAACAGAGTGAAAATCTGTGTCCCTTCGCAATCGATGCTATTCCACTGTCGGAACGCAATCAGGAGCCCCATTCAAAAAAAGCCCAGAGGAACTGGATTGAGAAGCTATGTTGGAGAAGCTCAGAGCAATGGGCGGAACACAGGGGAGGAATCGTGCCATGGTTCTCTGTTTGTGGGTTTCCCTCCATCTCGACCATCAGTTGACGATTTCTTTCGGAAGATTAACGACTTCAAAGACTTCATTCTTCGAGATCTACAAACGGCGAGCCTCGTTTGCTCATCTCCCCATGAGGGGCGCCGCATGGTGATTCCGGACGTCAAACTTTGGCCTGGGCCCCGCGCTTGAGATATCTATCAATTTTCAATCACAAACTCGCAATGTATGAGTTTACAGCCACGTCACACTTTTGTGCGTCACGGACCAGAGAGTGTTCTCCACATGAGGTAAAATCCGAGTGTTCCCCTTCCGACACTGTACGCGCGATGGTTCGAATTGTCCAACTCAAATCAGAATCCTTGCTAGGGATTACCGGTAGAGAGGAACGGTTCCGCTTAATTCCCCCGGAACTAGGTACGAGATATAGGAGTGCCCCAAGGACTGCGGATGGAGAACATATTACGCGGGAATTCCTCGAGAGATTCCACGGATTGAGTGACGACCTACCTGCCGACGACGGCGGACACCAGAGTGGAGTAGGCTATACGAGCGAGACCTTGCCAAGATGCCAAAGTGTCAAAGGCTCGCCCGAGAAGTTCTACAGATACGGGCGCATCAATCAGTTTTTTTATTCCAGCCAACAGCACACGTTCAGCTCAGACTCTCAATGAGGACTGCAACTTCGACACTCACTTCTACGTGGGGGGTGTTGACGCCAAAAATCGGGCTCGCGCACAAGCACAAGGGGTCAAACCGTTCCAGTACTCTCTCGCCGGTGAGCTCGCGAAACTCGTTCCGATATCCGATCGATAGAAGTCGAAGAGAACGCTCGATCGTTCATGCCGTTATCACTGCTGCAGGTTGTGTCCACTACATGAGGTTGAATAGCAAGCCTGTCGGTTTAGAAGACGCGCTGGTGACGAAAGCGGTCTCCAAGGACTGTGTTTGGAAGTATCCGTGCCTGAAAGAACCGTGTCTCTCGGAAGCCGATTGCTTACAGGTGAGTGGAGCATTATCCCGCATGGTGTTCGAAAGAGCTCGGCTCTGTTGTGCGAGATGTGCCCCTTCGAGAGGGAGTTTCTCTCCCAGTTTTCCTTCATTTCCTTTGCAACGGAGCTGCCTATTAGTAACTCATTGCGCGTGGAAAGTATTGTATGCCCTCAGTTTCTTTTGTGTCGCATCTCTGCTCGTTCGGGTCCTTTGTTTCCTCGTTTGGTTCCCGCATGACTCTCGTTCGTACGAACACCGGCGAGCCCGGCGAGCCCGGCGAACCGACAGACGGCACAGCGGGCTACAGAGCCGGCTACTCGAAGTTAATGAGAGGGCTTATGTTAGCGCGCATTCGTAATCACACGGCCGCAGCTGCTGGCAGCATTTCTTTAGCACATCATACGATCTAACGTACGTTGTGCTGCCTGTGAGGCTGACACCATGCATTGCGCGTATTCTCGGTAAGAATGTTATGCAGATTATACAACTGCGACAACAGGCGCTAATATCTTTAGCGCGCGCTTGCCCACCGTAGACACTTCTCTGAGTGTGCCTTCCTGCGCAACGAGTCGGACGCCGGTACAAGAGCAGCGCTGAAGCTCGTCTGAATTCCAGGTCGGGATCGACAGCTTCCAGTGCGTCTGCGATAAGAAGATCTGCACGAAGAAAAGTTTCACCGCCAACTACAAGGAAACTTACGCCACGAGCGCCGACGAGGAGTCTCCCGGCGAAAACGTAAGACTGGAGCCATACCCAACTTTTTCTCTCGAAGAAAACCGTTACCCAACCCTGAAAGCCGGTCGTAAGAAGAAAAATCTTAATCCTGCCCCATCTGTGTGTCTGGGAGCTTCGGAGGGAATGATCTTATTTTTCGAAGGATCCTGCTCCTTCCGAGCTTCCTGGCAGGAGGGGATCGCGCTGTAAAAAGTCAAAAAGAAAGTTTGCCTCATTAATGCTCTGGAGAAAAATTGCTTCATCATCCCGCGACGACCTGGTCAGAGTGGTTCGGCGATTCCCGTTAGTCCAATGCGTCATTTTCTCCCGTAGGTGCTTGCCGTAACCCCAGTGGTGGTTCACGACGGCGGAGTCGAACACCTCAGTCCAGACCACATCCAGCTTCTGGTAGACCTGCCGAAGTTGGGCTTGCGTCCAGGCGACATACACTTCACCGTTCTCGTGGGCCCGAACCATGGCATGCTCTCCAACGAGCGGGTCAAAACCGCAAGCGAAATAACTACGTTTACCTACAGGTAATTGCGTTCAAGGCGGAGTTCAGCCTCGGGTCTCGTCGGTTGGTCGAGTCCTCCGAATCTTGTGAATGAAATATTATGAGACCTCTAATCTTCTGCAACGGTCACTCATACCGGGAAGAAAGCGAAGGGCCTCAGAATAAAATCGATTTGATGAAAACTCCGCTTGCCATGGATGCGATGTGGGAGTTTGGAAATTCGAGAATGCGGCCGTTCCATTTCTGAAACGTCTGTTCGGAATGGCTTCGCGGAGCAACGGATCCAAGAGCGGTACTGATGAGGTACCTGACCGAGGACCGAGGTGATGTTAACCTTGGTGTTCTCTGTGGATTTCAGGGATGTCACGCGTTACAGAGTTGTGTACACCCACGATGGAAGTGAGACCGCGAACGATACATTGGTTCTTGAGATGAGCGTGGAGCCATCCACATTGCTGTTGCAGAGGCTGCCGAAAGCCTTGGCGGAAAAAATGCAATTCATGCTGCACATCGCAATCCTGACACCTCAGAATTCACCTAGCAGTCACAACTACGATTATCAGGCGAGCTTGAATCTAGCTCGTCTCACGAAGAAAGTGATAACCAATGAACTCCTGAAAGTGGACGACGTGCAATTTGTCGACGAGACTGCGGCCAAGTTCATGGTGCATATCGAGGATCCGGAGGGAACGGGATTCGTGGACAACTTCAAGAATCCGGGTCAAGCGATCGAGAGTTTCACTTTCCAAGAAATGAAACAAGGCGTCATCTGGTTTAATCACCGAGGCAACTCGACATCGACATCCTTTGGACTGACCTACACCTCACCGGCTCAAACCAAAGAGCTGCTTATCAATGTTCAGACTTTTCCTCTGGAAATCCGAATGGTCAACAATACGGGCGTGAGGGCCTCGTACGTCACGCCGACGATCATGACCAATCAGATGTTGGCATTCGTCACCAACGCACCGGAACAAGGTCTCGATATTCGTTTCGACATGGTGAACCTTCCGCAATACGGCACAATCCAACGACTGAAAAACAATTCGGTTTGGACGAACACGAGCCACTTCTCACAGCGACAGTTGACCCGCCACAAGGTACGGTACGTGCCGAATCCTCGAGCCGCTCGGGATCAACCGCTCGAGGACATCATAGGCTTCGTCGTGTCCTGCGAGAAGGCCAAACTGTCTACGCAATACGCATTCAAACTCTACTTCACCACCGATAGGATTTTCGTCACGACGAACAACACGAGAATCATTCACGATACCAAGCAAATCACCCTGACCGAAAAAGATCTCAAATACGTCGATGGTGCTGAAGCGAGAATAACCTATACGCTAACGGCCACTCCGAAGCTCGGTAGACTCCTGCTCAACGGAGTGGTTCTGACGGTCGGCTCGAACTTCACCCAGCGTCACCTCGCACAAAGAAATCTCGTATACCGTCCCTCAAAGTCGGTGATTTTTTTCGAAGACACTTTCAAGTTCAACGTGTACTCCAGCGGCTCGTCCTCGAACCTTCTAGGACAAGCGTTCACCCTCCGGTCAGCCAACAGTGATTCGCTGATTGTGGCCAACATGAGGGTTCCTGAAGGAGAACGTCTCGCGCTCAAACTCGCAAAGCCGGCTCACAAAAATAAATACTCGGTCAAGGTGAGTCCGACGCGTTTTATTTTCCGCATAGATCCGTTCCCGAGATGATTCCTCCGATCGGATTCCCCTCACCACCGCATTGAATTCCGTGCGAAATCGAGCTCCCGAGATTCCGGCCGGGACGAGGCGCCCGTGTGAGAGATTGGGAGCGTGCGCGGAACAGGGAGGGTCCCCGAACAAGGGTTCGCATCCCGCCCGTTCTAAGTCCGTTCGAAACAGTTAAGGTTCGGGAAATAGTCAACAGAGCAGCGGGAGAAACGGGGAGAGACGGGGGACGCTTCCTTCGAGAGAGTGGGCTATGGCCGCTTCTATTATGTATTGCTCGGTCGGCTTGGATATTAAAGTTGACAGGGCGTCCGGTCCTGAGTCAGCTCCGCCTCAGTGAACTCGGCTTGCCTTCATGGCTTCTCGCGGCCATGACCGACGCCGGGCGCCCAGTAGCCAAGACCGGCGGCAGCTTCGGCGATGGCGGCCCCCACCGCGGCCGGGCTCGCCTACCACCAGCAATACCACAAAGGAGGAAATATCGGTCGAGATAGGAGCACGATAGAAAGCCCACCGCCGTAGTCGACGCCGTCCATGGCCTCTAGCGCAGCGAGCGAGTCACCAGCGCAGCTAGGAGGGACATTGCCAGGAGGAAGACCAGTTCTGAATGGTGTTCTCTCTGGCACGCAGGATGGCAGCGCGATAAACTCCAACGATGCGCCTCCGCTTGAAGGATTGGCCAACAACACCGCTGCCAGCCGCGGCAAGAGGAAGCCCGAAGGCCGCCAAGGACTCTTTGCTCTCTCCTTTATGTGTACTCGTTTGAACACGGACTGAGTCTCGCGGACCTCTTCCCGAGCGTGGCTCCCTCCGTGCGCGGACAATGGAATTATCTCGCAATTATCGCGGACCGATTGCTCGTTTTTCGAGGATTCGTGGAATTTTCTTTTTTTCCCCGAAACGCGAGTACGCGACGTTCTCCGTTCGATGCCCCGACCGACGTCGAGCCCGAGCGGCCGTGGGTCCGGCGGGCAGAGCTCGGTCGTTGGGATTCCTGCTCATCCGCTGGTTAGCCCGACGACCGGCGGGCATGTTCCGCGAAAGGCTTTCTCCCGTCCGTGCTCCCGCGATGGTAGACAACTGCGATTGATAGCGGACTCATAAGCGTCAAGATAACAACGCGGCTCAGTAGCCAATCGCCATTCGGCCAATGAGCCATCGTTAGGTGTTACGGCCGGAAAACATTCAAGGGTGACCTCTTCCTCTCCTCGCAGATCTCCGGCCATCCGAAGCACGGCAGCATCGAGCGATCGGAGGGCGGCGCATTCCGCGCTGTTCTCGAATTCCCCACCGACGATGTGGGTAACGGACAAATCTTTTACAAGCACGACGACAGCGAATCGATGCATGACAAAGTTATCTACGAGCTGTACAAGGACAAGGCTTCCGAAGCTTTCCAGAAGGGAGAGGTAGGCAGTCAGTCCGTTGAATATTATTCTGTCTCCGAAGAGACGTTCCTCATGCTAGAGATTCAGCCCCATCGGGAAGTCCACGCTAGATTTCGCGAGCGGCTGGAATTTGCGGTCGCGATTCTAGGCGAAAAAAATTGATTCACCGTCGGATCTTAGGAAAAAAAGAAGATTCAGATCATTTTGATCCGCAGATAAACATCGACATTTCCCTCAAGAACGACAACCCGCCCAAACGAACACAGGAGCAAGTATTCCATATTGCTTACCAAGCAGAAAAAATTCTCTCGAATATCTATCTGAGGTACGAAGATGCTGACACCGACACCGATCCGAGCAAAATTTCCATCAGTCGCAAAGAGATTCCGAACGCGATGCTCGTCAGGTTAGTTGCTAGGTTCCGATATTCACTCAGAGTGTCGTCTTTCGAGCAGAGACGCTGTGGACGACCCCGATCCCGAATTAATTCTCCGAGAAACGAATATTTAGCGCCTGCTCTCTGCCGCTCGACACCGATTTCCATTATTTGACCTTCTCTCCGGGTCGCCGAGAGTCCGTATGAGATTAACGTTAGTTCGTCCCTTTTCGCAGAAATGACGACAGCAGAAAAGAGGTTCAGCAGTTCACGCAGAAAGACATCGACGACGAGATGATATTAATCCGACACACCGGAGGAGATTACGGTCGAGCGGTGTTCTGGGTTTCGGACGGACAATTTTACGCCACAGGTGGGCGTCTCGTTTATCTTGTTCAGGCAGAGCCTCCTGCCGGAGAGAACCCCTTCCGCAGATCTAATCTCACTGTCTGAGAACATTCTCTCTGTCCCACTCAGGTATTTTGGAAATCGTCGCCTCGCCCCCGTACCTGAACATTACAACAAACACGGGTCTGCTGCTGGAGCAAGGATCGTCGGCTCTGCTGCTCCCGAGCAACCTTTCGCTAGACACGAACCTAAACGTCAAGCCGTCAGAAGTTGTTTTCATAGTGACAAGACCACCCTCTCTGGGGAAACTTCGTTTCGCGCAGAGTTCCGATGAGTTCATCGACAAGTTCACCCTACGCGATATTCAAGAAGGCAAGCACGAACTCACTTTCAATCAATGTACATACCTACAGCGCTTGAATCCCGGATCCGCTCCCAGCGGATCGTCACCCGGGAAAAATCGCCGCCCACGTATTCCCCCCGGAAGGCTGAGGTCGGGCAAGGGGTCCGGGAGTCTCAAAAGTCAAGTTACGTCGCTCGTTCCCATGGATCGACTCGAAATGAGCCGTCTTCGTGCTCATGGTGTGACTCCGTGCTCAGTTCGCGTCTCGACGACAGACGGTCCGTCTAACAGCGCACGTTGGGGATGACTTGTGCGCGGAACTGGTCCACGACGTTCGGTCCTCACGGGGGAGGCCCACTGCCGCCTAATGGATTCCTAGCGCTCTGCATTTCTCGCTTCTATTCTTGCCGGGCTTCCTCTCATCATTCGCTCGCACGGAGCCTGTATGTGGGTTTAAGTGTCCCGCTCCTCCTCGTCCTGCTCCTCGGAGCTGACCCCGAGTTCTCGCCGCATCGCCGCCGCCGCTAAAAGGCCTTGTCATACAACAACGTCGAGCCGACAGCCACCAGAGAGGACTCAGGTGGCGGGCTCGCCGGCTGGCGGACCTTAAAAAGGCGCGAGCTCTAAAACGCACGCGGCAAGCAGCCAGACGAGGAGCATGCCACATCTCGGCGATTCCCGTCCCGAGCCTGGCGCTTGGGTAATGACGCCTTGAACGCTGATGAAAAAGAGGGAGGCTGCGAGCCATCCGGTCGCTTACCAGTCAGCCATCCAGCCGGCCGTCCGTTCACAAGAGAGAAAAACTCTGATCGCAGGCCTCTCCTTGGCAGCCGTTCGCTCATCCATTGTCTGAACGTCTCGTTTATCGCACAAAATCAGGATTTCACCATCATTGTGTTCTCCTGGCTGACCTCATTGTTGCTGCGCCTTCTGAGGCGTTAATTCAGGAACTATCCATTCCTGTTTACCAAGGATCGAAGCCAATTAACTGTAACGATGTCGCTACCGTTACCGGGAGCGTCAGAGGTGGCTAATGACGACGTGTGCCGCACCATCACGCGGCGCGGTGGAACAAGGCTTTCAGCCTCACGTTGCCCTCAATGAAAATCCCGGATGGTGGTCTCTAATACGTGGCGTAACTTCGCTGGGTTCGCCGTTCTCGGAGCGAACTTTTTTCCGGGCTGATGTCCACGGTGCTCCAAGTAGCTCCGAGCGCGGCTCGTGGTTCCTCTCGCTCATAGAGCTGCTGTTTCCTCGCAGGCATCATCGAGTACGTTCATTTGTCGAGTAATAAAAACGCCCACAACGATGTTTTCGATTTCGTGGCGGTCGCTCTGGGAGTCCGCAGGGAAGCCTCATTCAGAATCACGGTGTACCCCACAACTTTCTGGACCCCCATGGAAGTGAGAGCAGGCGGAGGTGAGTTCCGCTCAGAATTATCGAAATTATTATCACTGATTAATTATTATTCATTCTGCTGGAGACGGCATTATCGGAGCTTGGCGAATTGATCGCGGGACCTCAAGAGATCCCTGTTCTGGGAAATTTCCCGCAATCCAAAATGAATAAACATGTAGATCCTCCAGGGAATCCCAACCCGAGTTGTGACGAAATTTCCGATACCGAGAAGAGAATCGTAATTCGATAACTTCATTCACGATATAGGCAATCAAACATTGTTCCTGGACGTCGCATCCATAGCAACAGTCAGCCGGACATTCTTGAACGTCGTCCACGAAACTATCGAACCAGAGGACATAATTTTCACCGTGATCAGGAAGCCTCATTTGGGGAAACTGCAACTCGAAGGCAAAATCGTTTCGACATTCACTCAGGCTGACGTGAATAAAGGTTAGTGAACCGCGATATAGATACAATAGGGGGGATTCGTCGTTTAGGGATTGATTTCGGCAGGCTAAATTAATTCCAAAATGATCCTCGCGCATGACCCGGATCCCATGGGAGCTCCGAGGAACCCTCAAGAATCAGCGCCCCAGCGAAGTACGGAATCCAAGAGAGGCGACGTGTGGAAATCCCGCTCTGAACAGTCTCGCGGTGTTGGCAGCGACTCGGTTTCCGTTCGGCCGGGGCCGACCACGAACGGAAAAAGAAAATTGAATTCCCCAGAGGTGTAGCAAATCGGATGATCCTCACTAGTTTCGTTTGCTTACAGGGAAACTCAAATACGCTCACGTGGCCCAGGCAGGACAGGACTCGTTTGTGGTCGATGTCACGAACGGTTTCAGTCAGATGACGGGAATCGAAGTCCGTATCGGAGTAGTTCTCCGGGAGATCTCCCTCCGAACTCAAAATCTCACCGTCGACGAGGGATCGAAGGTAGGCTGCTCGTTCTTTCATTCAATGAGCCGACGGCCGGCTGCTCGAATCTTATCTTCCCCTCGAATGAACATACCTCGACGCTGTTTGTGAGTGGCCGTGCGTTAACGGCGGCGCTGTGATCATCAGGTGACTATCACGGTGGAATACCTCTCCTTGCCGGCTGAGACGGGCAGCCTTGACGTTATCAGCGAATATCTCATAATTGAGCCCCCGAAGCATGGTGCAATCGTCTCAAAGAGCAAAGATGTCGTGAATAGCTTCCAGCCCATCCAAGTACAAAAAGGTACATAAGTTCGCTGGGACATATTTCACAGTTTTTATATGCAGCAGCACTCGGAGAGATTACTGAGAAAATAAAAAATTCATAGGCGAGATCGAGTACGACCATAACGGAGATGAGAGTCTCGTGGATTTTTTCACCGTTATCGGCAGAGCCAGTGCCATGGGCAAGGAGACGGCGCCGGCCACTATTCATGTCAAAGTACAACCAGGTAAAAACCTCGGATTCTTCGCTCCACGGTGCGCGACCAATCTGATTCGCAGGTTTATCTTCCCCCTTCCCCGAGCTCTGTCGATTCCGACGGAGTACCGGCGAACCTCGGTCCCAGCTAACGTCCGTGAACACTCCATGTTCACAGTCAATGACGAAGTACCTCAGATGGTAGAGAACACGGGACTTGAGCTCTGGGAGGGCGAATGGGCCATCATATCGAGTGACCACCTGGCAGTGATCGATGAAGACACACCCCCGGAAGACCTGCGCTTCATGCTGACCCAACCACCTTCCAATGGGTTCGTGGCAGTCAACAACCAGATGCAGCCTGTACTCAGCTTCACACAAGCAGAAATCAATCGGAACGTCATTGTATTCACACATACAGGTGAGACTTCGCGCGCCGATATGTCAGAGTGTTCCGGCGAATGCAAAATCCCTCAAATCTCGACTGAGTGCGGATAATGATAAGATAGTGATTTATGAATGACTCATGGCAGTGTCGCCGTCAGGGAATTCCATGTGGAGATAACGCAACATTCTCCATCCATGTCTCAGGTGCGGAGGCCGGAGGCTTCAAATTCCAAGTTGACGACGGAGTCAACACTCTCAGCGGTCAGGAATTCGTCGTTCGAGCGAAGGAAATAACGGTCGAGGTTTCCCGGAACGAGAAACTAAGGGTCGAACCTCGCGGTCAACAAAGCATAACAACGGATCATCTGCAGGCTGTCAGCAGCCTTCCCCTCAGCGAAACGAACGCCCAAATCATCTATACGTTGAACGAGCCACCGAAATTCGGCAGAATCGTCCGCGAGAAGCTCGACGGTACCCTTGAACCGATACTGGAGTTTACTCAGGCCGAAATCGACCAAACGCTCGTTCTCTACGAGAACACGGACACGACCAAAAACGATTCTTTCACGTTCAGCGTCTCGACAAACAAGGGAAAGCTCAATTTGAAAACGCATATATTCACGATAGATGTATCACCGAAAAGTATCATCGACTCCCCGGTAGTCGTGCAAGCCAAAGAAGGAGATTTCGTAGCTCTGGAAAATGAAGTCCTTGCCATGGGGATCGAACTACCGAAAGCCAACGTCACCGTGATCCGTCAGCCGTCGCACGGTTGGATTGGTCTAGACGGGCCGAAAGGAGTGCAGCCCACCGAAACGTTCACCGACGACGACATAAACCATCGTCGGGTGTGGTATAATCACGACGACAGCGAGACTTTCGAGGACAAATTTGTCGTGTCGGTGCAAAAACTCGACAAACCCGGAGTGGAACCGTTGAATATATCGATTTTAGTGGAGATCGCTCCCGTCAACGATCAACCCCCGGTATTGAAAACAGAGTCACCATCAATCGAGATCGTCGAGGGTCAATCGACAACGCTGACTCCTGAAATGCTGTACACGGCAGATGCCGATAACATATCCTCTCAAATCGTCTACAACCTCGAGTACACCGACCTGGTGACATTTGTCAAGAACGACTCGAACCCGGTCTGGACGTTCACCCAACAGGACGTCGACGAGATGAGAATCTCGGTTTCGTGCAACAACACCGAAGCGAACGCCATTTTCGAAATAAAGTTCCAGGTCGACGACGGCATGCACGACGCCCGGAAAGCTGTGCTGACCGTAACGGTCAGACCGCCGTCGGTGAGCATGGCCAAGAACTCCGAGGTGATTCTAACTCAGGGCTCGTTCTACCGAGAGATAACGGCTTTCGAACTAGACGTCGAGACCGACAGTAAACGCGAAGAATGTTGGTACGACGTCGTACAGCCGCCGGAGAACGGGCACGTGCATACGTACGGGAACAACACAACGCTCTTCCGGCAGGATGACATCGACATGGGCAACGTCCAGTACGTCCAAGTGAATAACATGTCGGCGACGGACGACTTTTTCATTGTCGATGTCCATTGTCAGAGTTCATCGCTCAAAGGCGTCAGAGTCAACGTGAGCGTAATCGCTCTGGTGAACCAGGAGCGTCTGTTGGAGGTTCCTCTCAACAGTAGGGGAATCATTGGGAAGAGGCATCTGGACGCAACGAAAATCGCCACGAAACACCAGAGCAACCCCCGATTCCACGTCACGAGGAAACCGTCGAACGGAATCGTCGGCAAAGTCGGCGTGGGCCCTGTGGATCAGTTCAGCCATGAAGATGTCCTAAATTCGCTCGTCTATTACCAATCTCGGGGTGGCGACGCTCCTTCAGAGGACAGTTTCGAATTCAAACTTTGTTCTCCTGGAGTGCAACCGGGCAAGGGTCAATTGATTATCGTGATCACTCGGCCCGTCGGTGCGTCCGAGCCGCCATCGACAACGCCTAGGGACGTCATCCCCACGATCGAGGTCCCGATCGCTTCGACGACAAGTGTTTCTCTGCTCGAACTCGACCGCGGCCAGATGCATCAGGTCATTCTCTTGTTTTCGTTGGTCTTCATCGCGGTGATCGTTATCACCGTCGCGTTCGCGATCCTTTTGTGCCGGGTGATTCGAATGTCCAGCTCTTCCAGCTGCAAGAGTCAGGGTGGGGCCAGCAACAGCAGCACGTACGTGTCCAACAGCGGATTTCTGGAACAAGACGAGGTCGATAGATTTATTGCTCAAACAGCGCCCCCTCCCCCACCCCAGTGCAGGGTCACGCCCATGCTGGAGCCCGTCATTCTCGATTATACGTCGTCACTGCAAGAAATGAGCCTGCAGGACTGCGCGAGCGGCAACGAGGAAACCGACTCCAAGGAGGGCGCGACCTCTTCCCCTATCCCTGTCCTGCGTAAGAACCAGTATTGGGTTTGATGTTTAGAGGACCCTCCGGGGTCCGATAGTGTATATAGGGAATACGGCGCGCCGTCGTTTGAGGTTTGCGCCGAAATTATCGAGGAGCCCGAAGCGGAATGGTTGGGAATACCGAGTGTCGTGTAGATGACACCTTGAGGGTTCTAGATTTGGAAAACTTCTCATTCGAGGAGAACGCGGGCTCCTCCATGTATGTTTTGAGATTGTCGTGGCAACAGATGAAGCACCCGAGAAAGTACATCACTCTTAGTTAGTCGATCTGTAGAGAATCACATCAACGAACCCAATCAGCATATCCTCAGCTCACACCGAAACGCCCGCTGCACTACGGGCGCTCGGAAAACTTCGCCTCAGCTTTGTTCCTGCCCTGGACCGTAGCAATGGGAGTCAATCCCAGAATTCAACTCGAAGCCGGAGGTCTTCTCTCGAAATCACTGCTGCACGCACGGGCCGCAGTACTTTGGCCCACCGTCACGGTTGACGTCCTCACTTGCAATAATGGAATTTCAGCGAACAGTCGGAACGATATCGCGCTCATTCCAACGAGAGAGATATCGGCTCACAAAGTTCGCCGAGTCAGAGATATATATATTTTTCTGTGCACCTAGATATTTGTACTGGTAGTCAGACACACGATCATAGCTCATAAGTATGTAGGTCATAACCAGATCCGGTTGTGGCTCCATAGCCCTTCTAAGCAGCTTTTCACAATCAACTTACTGAAGCGGGTTTGCACACGGCTAGTGTGAAACTTTTTTCTTCGATGGTTTTCCTCTAGTTTTTTCACGACGAGTGTTGAGTGGGAACGTGGTGGCACACAGTTCACCTTAAGCGCGAGTAACTCGAGGTATAAGACGAAATATTGTGTTTATAGTCGAATCACTGCAAGAATGGAGAGGGAGAAACTTAGGCTGAGACAATTATGAGAAGAGGGAATTGATGTTCAAGTTTCTGGAGCTGACGGCATTTAATGTTTATAACTTACACCCACTGTGATAACGTATTACAAGAATCATTACGAGCATGATGTCCAGATGGACGATTTCAGTCATCTGCGTCATCGTCACTGACACTACCACTTAATCGGAATTAATGAATGAGAAGAATAAATGAATAATTTTTGTACCCGACTCTATATAGATGATTCTTCGATTGGCTCCTATCGGTTTAAGTGCCATTCGCAGCTAGGCGATCATCGCGATCTCTCTACGAGCATCCGAGCTCCACTGGTGGGCTAATCGGCCTCCTGGATCGGAATGATCGGAGCGAGGAAACTCAATTCCAATTCTTCGCACAACAACACGGAGATCGCGCATTCGCTGACCAGCTTCCAGGAATCTTACGATTGATCCAGGTTCCAGGGCGAGAATTCGGTCCACGAGCCCCCGGCCCTCCCTCTGCCATGTAGTCTCTGCACCTCTGTCCCGGGAACACTCCCGCTTTCTCTGCGTAGAGTCACGCGGGACTATACGACGATACGCGTCCCCGTACCTACGCGTGTTCCTGTGAGCTCGGCTTGAGTCATGTTTTAGGTGATTGGAGCAGCCGGCTCGATGTTAGGATATCGTCTCTCAGATGGACCCGACAATACCGCATACGGACTCTAATTTTCGGTGAGGTCGCGGATACGACGTTCCGGTTCCCATCATGAGCCGACGTGACGCAGAAGTGGAAAGGATTGCGGGACAGGATCCCAGGTACCGTCCCGCGGCACTCCCACCAAGCTCTCGATGGAGGCCAGCTCGATACGAGAGACGACACCGGTACCGAATACCGACGGACGTGCCGGCCCATCGGCTGAACTCGGAGTAGGCCGGGGTTTGATCCCGACCATGTAGATCTTGCCGGCGAATTCCTGATAGAATTCGGTTATGTCGCTGTGCGTCTTCCGCTCTCTCACATTCGCAGCTCTTGATGCGTTTCGGTTCCCACCTACCCTCGATTCTTCCAAAGAAACTTACAGGGCGAAGAGCTGGCAGATAGAGAGAATCAATGTGGAACGGTCACCCATTCGAGGAAACCTCCATATCGATCGGACACGTTGTCGACCGAGGTACCTCAGTTTAAGAAGCGTGCGCGTGCTCGACACGCTTTGATTTCTATCACCGCGTTAGGACCGCTCGCAACCATGAAGTGTTATATTTTGTGTGTGGTGGTCTTTCTGAGCGTTTTAGCGCAGGTAAATCACGTTCTTCTCGCGAGCTTGTCCGAAGTTCCGTTCGATCCCTTCATGAGCTACGACAGGCCATCCGAGAACTGATTCGATTACCGTGGAACGGGCACTACCGCAATCATCGGTCGCGCCGGGGCCTGGTCGCCGATAGGCGCGAAGTCCTCAGCTTCTTTACTCGGAGCGCAAACGGGACTCCCTATTCTGATTTTGCTCACTAGCCAAATTCCGACATCGTTTCAGGGAGTTGTAAGTGAGAGTGCCCCTCCCAGCGGGAGCCTAGAAAGCAGTCACATTGTGTCAAAACGTTCGCTATCTCAGCTGGCGAAGATGTTCGGGCTCGATCGGATTTTCGAATCCAAGGCGCTGCCCGTGACTGCCGCACCCATCTTGACAACGCCGATACCTCCGATCCTCATCGCTGCCGCCGCCTCTGTAAACGTAAAAATCCAACCCCCTGCGACCACGCCGTGAGTTTTCTGCCGAATCACTGCCAATATCTCCGGGCGTCCCTCGTTCGGAAGCAACTGTAGCGAACACTCATCCGTGACTTCGCCAATTATTTTTCCAGTCCTCCAGTCGTGGTGATTGCCAGAGAATCCGCTGAAGAAGCGGCGCCGGTCTCTAATCCCTCCGCCTGAAGTACACCCCCGAGCCGACGGGGAATTCACTGGAAGAATCGATGGACACGAGGTCAATACCTACAAAAGGATCCTACACTCGAAGGGACATAATGTTTGTTTTTACTCGAACCTATTTGTATAACTGGAAACTGCACGAATAAAAAATATCCACTCCGATCTGAGCTCTGGCTTCTCTCCTCCGTGCGATCCCTGGTGGGGCTGGCTGCTGATTTCCTCTAGGAGATCACACCGGCGGCTAACATCAGCAGTGCCATAATCTGCGCAATGTTGTAAACTGAATGAATACCGTTGAATTACCTAGTCGGAGCTCGTTGTAAATTCTACAATTCAATATTTTCCAACTAGCCGGTCAGGAGAGGAGTTCATAGTAGGAGTTCGATCAGTTTCCTTCTTAGGGTAGTCACATCGTTTGGCAGGGAAGGTATGTGAAGACGCTCTCTGCGTTTTAATGAGCTATGTGGCGGAGGCCACCGAGGCGAAGAAGCACCGCATAGCCATTTTCTGCGACATAAGTCGCGCTTTTGACACGATCTACACTGTCCGACTGCTGATGAAACTTGTAGGCCCAGGAATCAGAGGCTCTGCGTTGAAGCTTCCCTCATCCTACCCCGGGAATCGAAGGTGTATATAGACGGCCTATTGAGTGTTGGTGTTTTGAGGAAAGAGAAACTGGTAAGGAGCGTGGAGATCGTTCCATAAGCTTATTGACGGACTTGGAAAATCGACAAGTTCCTGGAGCAGCCCAGAACTACTCAAAATCTTAGAGGGGGCCATCGCCTCCGTAGCCCCCCCCCCGAATACGCTACTGCTAGCCCATCAGCTCCCCCTCCTTGTGAGGTACGTTAGGTAAAATTCCTTGCTGAAGTTTTTTAAAACGTAGTGAACAATTTTTCGGCGCGTATGCAAGACAAGCCCTCTGGTCGTACAACACACGCCTATCTGTGCCTAAGACAATACGGCCATGATAAGATGTTATTTCTTCTCGAAAACTTCTAGGCCGCTTCGGCTGGGAACCAACCCTAGTCTTTCGTGGACCACATTAGGCGAAATGGATTAGGAAGAGACGGATTTCGTTCAGAATTAGCTCGATATGGTCAGTGAGGGATGATGATTCAGCGGAGGAGCGTCAGTATAGGCCGGTGATAACATAAGTGAGCAATATGATCCATGATTCCAGTATCTTGAGGGCGAGTCAGATACTGCAGGTCCTTCGATGTTTCTTGGAGAACGCTTCGGTTCAACCCCAAATTTTTTGCCTTTTTTTGGGGTAAGCTCAATTGAGAGGGATCGAGTCTCGCTTCCTGGGACCTCGAAATGCATTCCAATATTGTGAACGATCGAGCAAACAGCGCTCGTTTTTCCTTCGGATCACGTGGTGTGTCTGTCTATCTATCGATCGTGATCAGGTACTTCGGGAACGAGCATGCTTGCCGCCTCGAAATGAGTAACTCGAGAATGAGCCTCTCGAGCTCTTTTGATTTTTATTGATCGGGCTTATTTTCGAAGCAGAGGAGCTTTGCGTCCTCCCGAATACATACCGGATCTCAGCAGCAGGGTCTCCTAAGCGATCCCGAGAACTCTGGAAAATCTGATGTCTTATGACAAGCTCATAGACGACTTCTGCGCGGCAGGAGCGCGATGATCGCTCAGGCATGGATCGTCGAAATCATTTCCCTCGGCTGCAGAGATGCACAGTCGGGGCGCATAAGTTCGAAGTTCGAACGATTCACGATTCTGTCACGATTGTTTATAAATCAGGTTCAGTCGGAGTTTTTTATTCTTCTGGTATCCGGACAGGAATCCTATCCGAGTAGCCTCATCTGCGGGCCAAGTTGTCTCGTATCTCAGATCCCGGGAGAGAATCGCTCTCCGACCGTTTAGGCCGAATTGCTCGAGCGGAGCCCGACGGTTCTCTACTACTGAGCTCGGGTGAGAGAGGAGCAGCGTGCTCCAATGCAGGGGCCTCGGAAGAAGCCCTACGCGCTCGGAATAATCATCGGAACTCTTGATGACTTTGGAATGATTGGTAGTTCCGAGACCTGCTCGTCTCCTCGTTCCAAAATTGAGTGATATTCACTCTGCGGTTCCAGACCCGCAAACTATTTGCGGGTTTTGCGATTCTGGAACCGCGGTTCCGGGACCGCCTAGGGGCAACTCGTCGCTCCAGAGGGAGGCTGGGGTGTGAAAACGTATCTCGTCTAAAGACGACAGTCCATGCGGCCCTCGTTGCTATATCCTATCAATCAACTATGAACGTCGTTTTTCGACTGATCTGTCTACGTGAACGCCCAATGTTCGCTCTTGAGAAGCTTCTTGCGGAGCTCCCTTTTGTCTGCTGCACCTGAAGAGTCGACGAGACAGCTCGGTCATACTTTCCGGGGCTTTCCGATAACATTATATCTTGTGAAGCTTACGGTAATCGGCTCGCTCGACGTTTTGGATAGCTAAGGAGATGGTTCACGCCTGTCCCTGAGCCTTTGCCTAGGCCGTTCGACGACTTCTCAATTTGGGTAAGGCCGCGATGATTGCTCTCGGATGAAGCTTTCTGCTGGTCGGTTGCTTTTGTGGGCCATGACGGAGGCTCTTTCTTTTGCTCGCATGCCTGCTGATTTGCTTGCCAACGTTTCGGCCTCGGTGGTCTGCTTATAGTGCTCCCTGCATATACGCAAAATCTCTCACTCAGTCAGATCATACACTTACCAAACGGCGCCGTTGCGACTTCATTCGGAGTTAGGGAGCGGAGTATCGGGATTCTATATGTATACACGTCCGATTCGAACTTAGGAGCATCTAGAACCCGAGCTCAACTTATGCTCCGTTTCCATACTTGCCGTGTTGTCCACCGAAGGAGCGTCAATGCCGAAGTTCCAGTGAGTATCCAATTTTCCTTCTCGAATCGAGTCTAACACGGCTTGTTTCAAGGTCCGCTACGCTTCGAGCAGGTGTTGTATTCCTAATGTCCTGGCTTCCTTGCCAGGTGTCCGCTATGTCTTTTCCTGCTTCATCTTAGGGCGGCGGAGCCTCTGGCGAGGGCGACCTACGACCACGTCGTCCTTCTCGCTGCCGGGACTCAGGGGCCTGTCTACCTGGCCGGGGGAACTACCGCGAAGACTTTGGAGAAATATGACAGGTAAACACGATATGGCTGGGAAAGCATATGAAACGTAGAACGAAAAGAAAAAACGATTCCCGGTGAAGAAAATCTCGAACTCAACTAATTCTCTCCTCGTCATCCCAGAGATCACGTATTCCATGGTATTTCAAGATTCTCTTTCGAAGTTGTGCGTAACACTTGGGTACGGGATTTATCGAACCGTGGGTGAGCGAGGAAAGAACTGTTGACGAACAGATCAGATTCTTGATAACTCCGTACACCTCAGATCCAGAGCGGTTCTAACGGAGAACATCGCGCCCTCGAACGCGACGGATAGGGCCTAAGTTCTCGAAGGCGACCACACAGTATCCGGGCCATAAAGCGTCTGATCAGTGATCAGCCTCATGCAGACGTTCTCAGAGTGGTCCGTATGGAATCCTGGAGGTCCGTGATGATCCGCCAGAGGTTAGCGACAGCTAACCCCTGGCGGATGGATTCGGAGCTAAATGGATTCGGAGGCCTGCAAGGAGTCGCAGGGGGTCAATCTTTTCCTTAGGCTGCAGAGCCAGGAAGCGAGTATCCACGATTCTGTCACGATTGTCCGCGATTTAGGTTTAGTCGGATTTTTCGACTCCATCGACTTCGGGGTCTCGGAGTGAAGCTTACGAAAAATCCCAGGTCTGAACGGTTCCCTGGATTACGCATGCGAGCGAAGCCGAATGTTCTAAATTTCGCGCTTTCGAGCGAGTAGATTATCATACGAGAGAGAGCGACTGTCGCACTCGGAACGTCATCATCAATCTGTCCGAGTGCAACAACCCTTCCGGAATTCGCATCGATGCTTCAGGACTAGAAAGGATTATGTGTTTCCAAATCATGTTGTGCGATATCAGCACATTGCAAGCATATGAGATATCGACGGAATACCCCATCGCCCAGCATCTGAAACCCGAAATCCAGATCGAGGTATCGCATTTCACTCATCGAAAGCTCCAGCTGCAGGGCTGAATTCCTCCTCTGCTGCGAGACTTCCCGGAGGACGGGCCTGGCCACCACTCTACGACGTCTGCAACGATCTCGTTTTCATTCGTGGTGCGGATATCGATACGTGATTCCGTCGTGAAACTTGCATATGAAGGTAGGTAGCATGTGTTTGGGCTGGAATGCAGTTCCAGACCGAGTTCAAATCGACCGTAGTCGCAGCAAAGATTCTCCATGAATTATTAAATCATCTCCTATTCCCCAAAATGTCAAGTACTACTATACAGAGCTCTCGCACCAGCGTTAAAACGGGTCCCGCAGCGCGACTCCATGCTGACATCAGTATGTGCGATATATCGTGGTCCTAGGCGGCATCTGGAAGAATCATGAGGGAGCTTCGACAGGATCGTGAAGGACTGTGGAGCGTTATTCTACAGTCACTCGAAGGGGCCTGATCCCGCGGAATCCACCGCGATTCTTCGCAATCTCGGAGGATCCATCGCTATTCCACGGATCGCAGAGCATCAAGGGAGAACAGAATAAAGAAACCCAGCGAGTCTGTTGGAAGCGCGAGTGGACACCCGGGGCCCCGCTCGCTTCACGAAGCCTGATCATTCTCCGATTTCGTGTGCTCCAACTCTCAATTAATGCACCGGACACGCAAAGGAACACACGTAGATAATTAATCAGTCCGTAACGGTCTTCTGCTTATCTCGGATACCGCTTCAGGGACATCATTGAGACTCTGAGAAGAGCCGAAAGGAGGCTTCGATTTGGGTCTGGCGCCAGGGATAGATCATCATCATTCTTGTTCCCATCTACCAATTTACAGAGCTTTCCGGGGAGAGGGGGCCGGACGTCGCGCACAGCACTGCCGGAACTCCGAAATCTCATTCGTACCGACGGTCCCCCTGTTTTTGAATCCTCGCGCCCGCAGCACCCCTCCGCTTTGCGAAAGAATGCGCTCCGCTAGTAGACGAACACCGCGGTCTGATGCTGAGCTGACCACCGCCGCCGCCGCGACGACCCTTGCGATGCCGCGCCAAAGGGCCGACATCTCTCTCGCCGCGCTGCTGTGCCAGTGTCACCTTGTCGTCTGCTCGCTGTCGGCTGCAGTTTTCTCTCCGTGTGTGCTCCGCATTCGAACACTTCATTCGAAATTTTGCGTGTCCTACTGACTCCTGACTCCGTGAACGTGAGTAGAGCTGCCTCACATCTCACGCGGTCCTCTGACGACCATCTCAATTGACTCCAGTGGGATTTGAGTGCCATTCGGCTACTGAGCGGTGCTTGATGGAGTAGTGCTCACTGCCCTTGAAAATAGCCGTGCACTAATTTTCTCCCTCCCACGAAGACTATCCTGTCATGCATAAGCATCTCTACGAAACTTTCGAGGCTGCCTTCTGCCAGGCTCAGCTGGAGAAGCTTTTCCCCAACGTATGCGCAGTTTCGTCCTACGATGCGTTACGTCCGGACATTCACATCACCGAATCGTCTTTAGCGCCTGGATAACTTTCAGTCTCGGCAGGAGAGGGGGAGGGGGGTGAATATCCCCGGGCGACCCACCTGAAAGATATCCTGTATACGACGGTGTGTTGATTGCTCTTTCAGTCAGGTGACAATGGCCTCCGACCCCAACACGCTGAGCGGTCTGAGCGAGAGTCTCCAAGATGCCGAAGTTCAGGAGGGACGACTCAAGAAGAAGATCCGAGAGAACCCATTCATGATCGCGGGTAAGTCCCGGCTCTTCGCCTGAGCTTCATGAGCCGTGAGAGCTCGGACGATGGAGCCATAGGAGTCTCAATACGAGGAGCTGATAATTCGCGTGGCGCGGTTTGATTCGTATGTATCCGAGACCTTCCTCGTGGCTTCGGCGTTGACCTTCGGCATCGATCGGGTCTTCGCGATGCGCTGCGGAGACCGCGCGGCGGAATATTGATGTGCAGTACCTTGATGAGAGCACGAAAGGTTAAGGAGTAATTGGTCTCTGCCGTTCCTCCATTCCAGGACTCACCTGTCTCGTCGGGATCGCCTCCTATGGATTATACAATATGAAAAATAGGAAAATGAGACCTTCTATATATCTTCTGCAACTACGAGTAGCTGCTCAAGGCAGCTTAGTGTTCTGCTTGGTCGGGGGTGCAGCCGTCGAGTTGTTCGGAACTCTGAAGAAGAAATATTACGAGTCGGCTGACAATGGAGAGAAATAGGCTTATCAGTAGCAGCAGTGATATATCGTATTACGGAAAACCAAAACTCGTTTTCGTTCCCTCATGAGACGAAATATGATCGATATAGCATCGTCGGAGCTCTCGAAACGCGTTCACCGGGGCTATCCCGCTCTTGGTCGGGATCGTGCATGCCCAATCTTTTAGATTTCACGCATGGCCAGACATGTTTAAACTGTAAATTGCTGATGACTCTTGTTGATGTTGTTGTTGTTACGGATAATAAACTATTCCAAGAAAGGAGAAATCTCAGCGAGGAAGAAGTTTTCCTGGAGACGTGAGAATAAAATACACCTATTGCATCCTTCCCGTCCAAGACGGAGCCAGAACGATTCCAGGGACGAAAAAGCTAGAATCGGCAGGCAACCAGCTTCAGGGAAAGCGCGGACAGATTGAAGGGTGAGTTCTCATGGACAACCGTCCCTCAGGGCTGACGCGAAGCTGCGGCCCATGCTCTCTCATGTCAGGAATCCTCGGTAGGCGAGCACATGAACTCTCGATGGGAGCACAATTCATTCCCCTAAGAATCGCTCGATGACTATGCTCGAGAGACGACGAACCGCCTAAGAAACTTATGTCTCGACCAGAGGCAGCGAGTGCCAAGTCCGATGGCGAAAATCCAGCCTCGAGGGATCTTTCTCTTGAAGGTCTCTAGCCCGGGCTCGACATCTCAGCATCACCGTATAGCAAAACCCCGCCCTCAAACAAGCCTAATCAATGCTTCATATAACCTAGAAAAACACGGTCCCCGCACCTAATCATCACTGATTTAACCTCCCGATGCTTTCCCCCATCGCGAATCTATATCACTATCTATCGAAAGTATTCCGACTCGTATAGTGGAGTGAATTCTCCAGGACCACCGAACCATGCGGGAGTCGAAGATTCTCCAACATCCGTGCCAAAGGAGACTGACTCATCGAGTATAGCAACAGTAATATCCCCTACGGAGATTCCCGAGAAGGCACAGAGCTGCAGTGCAGCGTCGATACAACCCCTCGCTCTTGCGCGGTGGTCTCTGAGAGAGGCTTCCACCGCGACCATGATCACTTTCGTGATCATCTGGATCGTGTCGATGGCAAGATCTGCGATAGAATCGAAGCCGACGATATCCGAAACATCGCAGTCCGACAGTCTGCCGGGCACCACGCTTCGAGGTAGGGGAACACGGTGAAAAACATTGTCACCCCGAGATTTCCAGAAGGTTTACCATCGCATCGATTCAAAACTTGTCCTCTGAAGGACCTCTCCCTCAGAGGCTGACGAGAGTTTATATAGCTCCCAAGTTACAGGAAATAGAGAAGAGAGTAGATGTAACTCTTGCGAACTCGAGCGCGCACATAAAGAATGTTTCTGGAGGATACTACTTTCCGTTGGTAGACAAAGACAAGCGAGGTCGTGACATGTTCGGCTTTGCCAATTTCTTCCTGATAGGTACGGACAATATAAGAAGACACGGGCCCCTCTCGGTTTACTCGGACGGTAAATATCAATCGGGCGGCATGATCGAGAGCAGTGGCCATTTGCGAGTCGTAGGATCACAACCATTTCCATCGAATCCTCAGCGGATCCTCCTTACGTCCACGGAAACCTACGGATGTCACAGGCAGTTTACCGAGGCTCTGCTACATGGAGTCGGAAGTTCCCCGCCGAATCCTTCATTTGCTACATCGATGAGTACGACTTCGAATTCGCGACGACCTTGCCTATGCCTCCGGCAGAGATCATGACCGTACTACGAATGAAGGCGAGTCCTCCAATGACCGCGGATGTGGTGCATTCCGAGCCAAGATCTTCTGGTCCTTAATTGCTGGAACTCTGAGGACTCTGTACGTTCTAGTTCCCACCGCTGGCTGATTTCACGTGTAACAAGCTCTACAGATATCCCGTATTCACTCGCAGAAGAGCGAGGAAATATATTGCTGGAAGCTTCCGAGAGCTCGTGCGGGATTTCGTTGCGAGATCGTTCAAATCCGCTTGGCAGAATTTCTTGAAAGAGCCAATGCAAAGAGAAGCGACCAAGTAGTTAATTCTAGAATTCTCCTATAAAACATGCCAAACTCTCATGAGCTCATGACATATCTATGTACTGAAGGAAGACGCTTCGCACCGTCTGCCAGGAACTTTAGCCTCTTCCGGAATGAAAGTTATTTTCCCATGCGGGATTCGATCCTACCGACGGCTCACCTTGTCTACCGAGAGCAGGCGTGTCAAGATTTGAGGCGCCCTTAACATTATATCTCTCTTCCACCGGCCGGAAGATCAGCGGAACGATGACATCCGACTCAATCGATTTACGGTGGCCGGCTGAGGTGCGACCAGCAACGGGATAAGCGTATGACCTCCTCCAGAGTCCGGACCTAGGGTTGGCGATTCAAGGACGGGATCGAGTCCCGGTCGCACGAATCAGCACACATACATACATAGATCCAGTGGCGTCCACAGGATTCTTCTTGGAGGGGGGGGCGAGATCGGGTCCTCGCATGGGGCTGGTTCCCAACATTGCGACCCGCTCCTATAGATCAGTATTACGTACCCTCAATCTGGGAGGGGGCTGTAGCCCCTTAGCCCCCCTTTGCGGACGCACCTGCATAGATCCCCGACGCACCCTTGGAAGGAATAAGTTGCGCAGAAGCTCGAGGCAAACGGATCATCGTTGAGATCCCGTTAAAATCAAGAACTTGCCAACTGATTATGAGCCGACCGACTTGTGGAGCTGCCGGGGAACGAAGCTAGGGGATACACGTCCTACACTACCAGGGTAGTCATGAAGGGGAGTGAGCGCAGAGACTCGAGTACTCTGTTGTCGTGAACTCGATGCTGACACAAATTCAAACGATCGTGATATGACGCACAGAAATATCACGAACTCTAGAGAAGACGCTTTTGAGAGTGCGAATCTTTCACCATGAGCCGTCGGGAATGCATTTTTGTCGACCAACTTTCCACTGGAAGCATCTCGTCGGCTTCCGATAACGTCACTAACATGATTTGCGAGGGCTGTATCATTCGCACGAAATCCGCGAGACCACGAGCCTCCATCAAAAGCTCCTCCCATGGGTGAAATCGCGTCGAGTGCAAGAAAAGAACAACGATGGGCATCATATTTTCCACGGCCAAGGACATATTTTCCGGTGGATCGTTCCGAACTTTGAGGGAAGCGCGAGAGGTGGGAAGGCAAAGACGATCGGCTATCGGTCGCGGACTCGATCCTGATCTCTACAGAGTGCACCTCATTAGAGGGAAACGGCACTTTGACGTTAAATACGACCTCAACTCATGCCCGCATGAGGAAATCAAGGGAAACTACAAAATCAAGGGTTTCTTGAGCCGCGGCGCTTGGGGTAAAGTTTTCAAGGCGAAACACAATAAAGAAGAAGGGAGCTACGCGATCAAAGTCATACCAAAAATCACGAATATAAGCAACGAGGATAAGGAACTCAGGGTGAAGGAGAAAAAACTGCACTTCGCCTTAGTGAGCGATTTCGTCGTTGCTCTGTACAGTGCATACCAGGACCCTGTAAATCTCTATCTAGTCATGGAGTACGCAAAGTACGGAAGCCTCGACAGATTCATCACGAAGCCGAACTCCCTGAGCGAGAACACCATCAAACTCATTGCCGCACAGCTGGTCTTGGGCCTAGAATTCATCCATGGTTGTGACGTGATATACCGCGACCTGAAAGTTCAGAACGTCCTCGTTTTCTCTGACGGATACGTGAAGATCGGAGACTTCGGCTTGTCGAGACGTTATGGAGGACGCGCACATTCATTAGTGGGAACGCCCGACAACATGGCTCCAGAAATGGCAGATTCAGAGAATGGGTACGGTCTGGAAGTGGATTTCTGGGCTCTGGGCATACTCCTTTATCGGCTCGCGTACAACATGCATCCATTCAGACCAGACCACGGAGCCTTTACGGAACGGGAGATCCTCGAGCGGGCTCGAACATGTCATTTGCTTTTTCCCGGTGTAGAGGAGGATGGTGAGCTAAACCCGACTGAGCAATTTCTCGCTGGTCTACTCAGAAAAATCCTCTGAAGCGTCTGGGCAGACGGGGGCCAGATATAAAACAGCATGTTTATTTCGACGGTATGTCGTTCGTGAGCATTCATCAAAAACGAGTCAAATTCGAAGTTAATATCCCCCCATTGCCGTGCCAAGCAGTCGCCCGCGATGACGTCGTCCCTCCCATAAGTTTCGACGTTCCATTGAATGCCTTCGACGGTTTCTGAAGCGCAAAGAAGCAAGCCCTGTCGACAGAAGCGAGGGGAAGACAAGGGAAATCATCATTCAAAATCATTCCCGACTTATCGCCAAGTTAAGAGAGGAAGAATTACATGACCTATTTGGAGGAAAGCGGGCAAAATGGAGAAAAAATTGGCAGATATCCCGGAGACATAAGACCGAGCCCATTCATATGCTTTCGGTCCCTCCGGGAGGGACAGGGGGAGGAAGAGAAGCGGGCGCTGGCGAGCTCGGGCTCGAATTCGGCCTTTCAATTACTAGTTTGACTCTGAAAAGCAGGGGTCTTCCATCGATAGGATCACAGACGAGCGAATTCCTGAAAAAGAGCTGCAAAGTTTCCTGGAAATTTCTCGGCAATAATGCGGTGTCACGAATACACCTCCGGCTTCGGCTCAACGACGTCAAGGGCGTCGATTTTCGTGCCCTTCAGTAGATTTCGCGGTGACGATGGAGTCGCTCCAATTATTCTGACCGAGTTCCGAATCGATCGCTTGTATTCCTCGGCCGAGCTCTGTCGATGCTTATCGCAATTCTCGAGTTTATCGCTCGCTTAATCCAACGCCACGAGCCTCCGCGATTGGGCTCTCATCTCGAGTCCCTGACTTGAAGAGCATTGTCTGACGGGGATTTGTTGAGGGGGATTTAATGGTCCTCTCAGGTTATGCTCGACCAATCATTCTTCTCCTGCAGGATTGTAGTCGGTATATCTGATATCCTGCTTTCACATCTCCAATGATCGGATTCCTGTTCGTCGCTCCGACCGGCGAAACTCAGTCAAAGCATCTCGAAAGGGTTCCACGGTTCGGCTATTGGCATACTACCCGGAAATATTTCAATTATTGAGCAGCGTGACTCCAAGAAACGAACAGTCAATATATAATTGAGTGGTCTTCCTCTTCGATTTGCTCCGGAAATTTAGCTTAAGTTTTAAGGAAGTGTATTAGAGAAAAAGAAACGGGATGAGACCGATGTTCGATCAACGCGACACCCTTCTGATGGGCACCCGATCTCGCCCTCAATGCACGTACGATCTCGGATAGATGTACATATATTCCCAGCCATCAGCCCTCGAGGAATTCTTCCTCCAGGAATTCGTCCGAGTTATCGGGATTTTTCTTGAACAGCTGTCGCGCTGACAACCATTGACAGCAACCAGCGATCTCTGAGCTTGCGGCGGGTATAGGATCCATCCACGACGATGACACAGCCCAGCTGGAACGAAGACGCGTTCGCATCGCGCGCGAGGTGCACCAAGTACGAATCTATAAGATGGCAAGCTGTGAAGACTTCGATTCTAAGGGCCTTTTCATATATTCACACCCAGACTCTGGATCATAGGTCGCTCTATAAGTTTCATGGCGCCAGATGGTTCTCTGTCTCGGACTCACCCTTCTCATCGAAAGCCTCGACATAGAAACTCCCACAGGATTGATGGATGCCCGACACCGTGAGCCGTAATCCTCTCGAATTGTACAATGTGGAGTTTGCGAGAGACGATTGCATGCTCCGTGATGACTGGTATCTGGACTCTGCGTCGCGGAGCCGCCTGGGCAAATCGGCGAAGACGTTTGCTTTCGCTCTGGGTGTGCGACCATCTAGGAGAAAGCCTCAAACTGGAGTTATTCCTGTTACAGGGCGCCGCTCAATACTTGAGCTGATATCTAATGGTGGGTTCCACCGAAAAGCTATGGTTGTTCACTGTTGAGGAAATATACCTTCCCGCGGAGCATTGTCACTTTGCTTCGAACAGTTGTCTTTCCCGATGCTCGTCGACCACGAGACTCCTACCGATGCTGGATCTATCACCGGATTTTTCTCGCTTTCGATCGGTGAATCATCGTGGGACTCGGACGAATCGATTTCCTCGATTTGTAGGCCGCAGTCGGCTGGCGAACTTTGAAGATCTATGTGCTGTGGAATATGGTCCGATTAGGAGCGATCACGAATCTTCGACTACTCGTACATGCCTACCTATAGCCAAAGACGCTCGCAGGATTTCCCGCGCAGGGGGGCTAGATCGGTTCTCCGCATGGGGCCCACGCCTATATCGTATATTTCGTTCACATACACGTATGCATATTTCACATAGGCATATGTCGAAGGGTCATTATATGAGATCCGCCTAATTAAAACGATCGAACCGGCGCTTCGGAGAGCGCTAATTCGACTCACCTGCGCTTCTGAGACTGAGAGGGTCCTCTCGAGCTCCGCTTCGAATTTCTGCGAATTCACTTCTTCTATATCAGGATCCATTAGCTTCCCTCACGATGTATAGGAGAGAACTTTAATGTCAGGCCCTGCTAACTGCGAGCAGTCCCAAAGAGCTTGTCTGTATCAGACTTCCCGATCGATGACTGACGGATGTTCGGATCGCGGTCAGCCGTTCTCTGCACTCCGCACTTACGCTGGAACTTCACAATACCCGCTTGCCGATTCCTCGACGCATGGATGCCCGCAAACGATCGGGAGCCTAAGAGTCCATATTCCTGGAAGGAGGTGGGGGAACCTCTAGTCCTCACGATCCGCTCGAGCCCCTGTTCACTCTGCCGGGTCCCTGTGATCTAGCGAGAAGCCCCCTCAGTCGCTCTCTCTCTAGATGTACCTGAGTTCATCGCGAGCATCCATGCCACCAATTAGTCCTTAGGAATAGTCTATTGATCATCAGGAAGGATCGTGGAGGAATTTTGCAGAACTAATTATTCTGAGCGCGCAGACACTCTCCCGCTTTCACCCACACTCATGCCCAGAAAGAAGCAGACGACGGATCGCGCTCTGCTCTTCTCTCACGGGCTGAAGCGGACCACGGTGGGAATGATGGTGGTAGACAGGTAGTCAGTAAAGGAGTAACGAGGTAGTGGGAACAGGGGCAAAGTAGATAAATGAGCCGGCTGAGTCTGCTGATGATTGATGTGAACGGAGGTAGGGGAGAGGAGGGCTCGACAGAGCTTTCTGACGCTGTCTAAGCGCAATCCTGGAAGCGGACCGGAGCTTCGGACTCTCGTCATGTTCCGATTCGACAACTCTCCGACAAGAGAGTCCCTGACGAGTAACTCTTCGATCGTCGGTCATTTTTAAATCATATTCGTTGGAATCGACTCCGCCAGATTGATTGTTCACTCGGGATTTTAAGGCCTAGGGTTCGACACGCGCGGATGCGAGTCCGACCGTCAAAATTTTTGTTCGGACGCACGTATGCTCAAGATACCGTGCAGAGATACGTTCTCCGAGTCTACGGGAAACTCGTCTGAGGAGTCCGCGGGACAAATTGAATCGAAAGCTCTCGACGGGGGAGGGACGAAGATGATGTCGGTGATCTTTGCTGGTGGTTGCGGGCGGTTCCTCCCATTTATTCCGCCGAATACGATTTCCCGCCTCCATGCAGTCTGCGGACATACGGATGAAATCCATAGGACCGGGAACGTGGAGCCGGAGGGAAAAATGAAGAGAACACTCCCACCATTGGCAGTTACTGTCATCAAGAGCCTCCCCTTTTGTTCTATCGTCTCCAGTTTCTTCCCGCTCTGCTCGTCAGGCTGAAGAAATGTTCAATCGTACGAATTGTGCAGCTTCACGAAGACCACGGTGCTCAAGAAAACATGGACAACCGTACAAGTCGACTTTCAGGTCGGGCTTCGAGTTGACTACTCCATTGATGCTTGAAGACCGGGCTCTCGGTCAGAAATGGACGATATGATGCGAAGAAAGAGAGATGTTTCGTGAGGGAGCTCAGACCGCAGGGTCCGCATCCTGCATACTTTGTGGACGCTTCTTCCCTCCTCTCGTCTTATACTGAACGAACCCGCTTAGTGGACAGTTCGAGACTTCTGATCGCTTGAGAGCCGATTATAATTGATGGTTCAGAAGTATCTACTGAGCTCGTCCGTCTGCTAACGTCTGTCCGTGTCTGTGTTTTGTATACCAGAGAGAGAGTGTTGTTCCCGCAGAGTTGTGCTGTCTGCGAGCGGCTGAAAATCGCTGCTCCCATCTGAGATTTGAGTGTATAATACGTTTTGTGCGGACTTATTGAGCCCGGAATGGCGGCGGGAGGACTTTCTCTGTCATCATTGACCGAGGAGTTCCAGGAGGCCAAGAAACGACTCAAACAAGTTGAAGAAGGAATCCAGAAACACACGGGTCGCCCCTCACTGCAGCAAAGGTACCTATTCGAGCGATCGACCAAACAACAAGCGATCATTCCGGAAAAGTTCTAGAACTGGAAGTTCCTCGGTAATGAAGAACTCCAGTGATTCCCGTTGCGGCGTCTCTCCGTTGGCTGGTTACAGTTCTGCTCCTGGTTTACGTTTACACGCCAGGCGAAATTTCCGCAGATATACGCGGAGCGCCATGGCTGTACTATGACCGGCGTGGTCGGTTCGCGGGCGTGGACTAATTTTGGACTCCCGGCGCCTTCGCTTTCGAGCTTAGTCTCCACCAGCTCTGTGTGTTCCAGCTTCTCGCATCGTAGTCTCGGCAACGCGACGGCTTGAGCTGGGGAGGCGCTCCATCGACGCTCCTACGCTAAGCGAAGTTTCTGGTCTGTCTCGTCGAGAGGGCGCTCCAATTCGAACGAAAGCATCAGAGCTCCGACGTTCCGTATCTCCTCCCTCGAATAGTTACCACAAAGCCCCGCTTTCTTTAGTGTGCACAGCAATGTAGATCGATAGTGTTCGTCTTTGCGCGACGCTTCAAGATAGGTTGCTCTCTAACGAACTTGAACGTTCCGGTCCTTAGGCTCAAACCGAGATTAGACGCCCCCGCCGGAATCCGCAGTCAGCTTGCCAACAGGCTCGATGAGTAGGTCCAAGTCCTTGGTATTGATCATCGATCAAGCCCTCGAATCGAACAGACACTACACAAATTCTGTTAGGTCATATCACCGACGAAACAAAGTCATCAGGGATCCCCTCGGGTAATGGAAAGTGTTTTTTTTTCGTTTTCAGTGGACCCTTCAGAAGACATCAGGGAGGAGCGTTCAGTCGCCTCGGTCGGCAACTCAATGCGAACGAAGCCAGAGATATGGGGCCGAGCCCCAACCATGGGTTCCACAAAAGTTTGAAACGTCAGCGCGAGGAGCCGCCTGCCGAACGAGATAAGACTGTGAAAAAAGAAGAACCTAAGGAAGAAGAAGACGAGGACGATGAACCCCCGCGAAAGATCGGCCTCCAGTCCTTGATCGGGGCCTCGACGATGACCGTCAAGCAAAAGAGCCGCACGGAACTCCTGAACGAGCAGCGGAGCGACACGAGCGGCAAAGAGAGGAACAAACGCATGTTCGGCATGATCCTCGGAACTTTGAAGGTTAGTGGACCTAGAGTCTGGGGGCCGGACACCCTCCGCGGATTCAAACTCCCGAAAGCTCAGTGCTGAACAAAGACTGCAATAATTTTCTTGCAGAGTTTCGAGAAGGAGGAAACCACCAAGAGGAAGGAACAAGTCGACAAGAAGGTGGAAAAGGAGCAGAAGGTCGAAGAGATGAAACAGAAAGAACGCGAAGAAGAAATCCGGCAGCGGCGTGAACTTCTCACCGAAAAGCGGGAGAAAATTACGCAGCTGAAGAAGCTCCAGTCGAAAATGGAGGTGGTTGGAGCTGTGAGTTGAAGGCGAGATACAGGGTCTCTCGCGAAAAATAATGGGAAGGCGCCCCAACATCTGACCCCCATTTGGCTGTCGCTAATGCGAGTTTTAAATTCTCTTCCGATATCCTTTCAGTTCGAAGAGTTCTCAAAGCGTCACAGATACATGATGAATTTCATACATACGGCTGCGAAACCACCAATCATGTGGTTGCCGAAAGTTCACACCGAGGAAACAGAGAAACTCCTCGGTTGGAGCAAATCCAAGATCGAGGCCATCATACAGAAAGAAGAGGAGAGGATGCTGCTGGAAGTCGAGAGAATCGAAGGCATCACACGAGCATCAGACGGAGAGCCAGACGAGAAGGAAAATTCTCATTTACCGAGCAGCGTCGCTGTCGTGGTCAGACATGGTGAGACATAAGACCTCCGCTATTCCTCCCGCTCGAGGGGAGCCGATGACCGTTCGACAGATGGCCTGAATTGGATAATGACGCTGCCGGATGGGCGCGAAATAAATGGCATGATGCTTGCGACAGGATTCTGGCGGAAAATAATCAAATAAAAACTGTTTTTCAGACCACAAAGAACCTGGCAGCGGCGAGGCTAACGGTGATAGCGATCATAAACAGACGGATGCCGACCTCAAGAACATCAAGATTGTCATTGAGAATGACATGGCATCATCGAAGGGGTTGAACGGAGACCAAAGACAACCGACAAAACTCGAAAGTGGCGTCTCTGCTGATGAATCTCAGGCGCTGAAAAAAACCTCGCCGAGCCCATCGAGCGCAAGCGCAGACTCCGGACGAAACGCTCAGGAGAAGTCTGCGCGACGCTCCCCGGTGTCGTCACGGAGAACGAGCGGCGAAAAGCAGAAAGACAGCTCGTCTTCGCGTGCACGTCCTGCCACGAAGAAAGGCTCGCGATCTAGTTCATCATCGAGTTCATCGTCGTCCTCGTCTTCATCGTCGTCGGATCAATCCGTCGAGAAGAAGGAACCGGCGGTCACCAAGAAGCGCTCTCCCAGTCCGCGGGCGATACAAGGATCACCCCCCAAGAAAACTCCGCCGCCCGCTCGCGCGGAACGCTCTCCTTCTCCCAAGAAAGAGTCCCCGTCGCCGAAACGGGCTTCTCGAGTTGACGCACTGCCCAGTAGACATCCCGGGCAGCGAAGGAGTGCCAGCGGCGGCGGCAGCAGTAGCGGAAGCAGCAGCGACGGGTCACCGAAACGGAGAGCGCCCTCATCGGCAGTCGCTCCGTCACGGAGGCCTCCGAGGAGCCCAAAGCCGAGGAGCCGCTCACCAGCCTTCCGGAGGAGATCCCCCAGCCCGTCAGGCCGGCGTGCAAAAAGATCTCGGAGCTCCAGTCCGAAACGCCGCAGCGTCAGTCCTCACTCGAAGAAGATAGACCGCAGGCGAAGCCCTTCGCCGAGACGACGATCTCGTAGCCCGAGGAGAGTGCGTAGGTCCAGGTCTCCCCGCCGGAGACGATAGGACGATCAGCTCCTGGTTACTTCAATTTTTCCGTAATTAAGAATGGAAATGGAGGAAATGAGTCTTTGTCAATGGAAATGAGAAAAGAGAAAACTGCTTCAAGCATCTACCCTAATAAAGGCTGTATATACGTATACAAGAATTGCACGATATGAACACGGTTCGTTCCCTTCGACGTGAACTCGGCGATGATTCGTGTTCCCCGCTGAATTGCTTGTTTCTCAGTACATCGAATATTCAATCCGCGGAACGCGTACGGTGCGCGGTACGCGAAGAATACAGAGGAGTCTTGCTGTCAGTATTGTCCATTATCTGGACTGTCCCATCACTCCCAGCAGGAGCAGTCCGACGATTCCGAATTTGGTCAAGTCTAATCAAGAGAAATCCGAGAGCCATGAGCGGAGAAACGCGCACAATCCCTATCTTCGAGGGGCTTTGGCGCTCAAAGTCGCGATTCCGCTTCAGTTTGTCGAGTCGAGAACTCAAGTTCCGTTTGGCAACATGGAAGTCTCCCGGTCACTGTGAGACTCATTCTCGATCGGATGGAACCGCTCGCTACTCCCCCTCGGGTGAATGAGCATTACCGATTTGACCAAGAGAAACTTACTATCTTTTCCGAACCAGAGCTCTCTCTCGCTTGAAAAAAACGGCAATCAGTTATCGACGGATCGAAGGCTATCGCTACAATGGCTGAACTCTGACCGTGGAGAGATTCGTGGGAATACTTCAACTTAGGGAGCCTTTGGCACCTAAGCAACTCGAGAGATACCTTCGATTGACTCGGAATGCGAGGGTTTTCGTTTGATTCGGGTAAGGAGGGGGGCTGGAAGGGACTGATTTCGCCGATAATTCTATGCACGAGCACCGATCGACATTTTCGAAGACTCCGAACGAATATGAGCAGGGCCCGATACCCTGTTTATTTTGAGGCAAAGCAATACTCCAGAATTACTCAGAGACACCCCGAATATCCCCGGGCTTGTATCATTTTCGAGCCTCAATGGATATCGATACAGAGCTTGGCTGCTCACAGGATGGACAATGCAAGGACTCGGGCGTTCTCTTCCATCTGACCTTTACATGAATCCTTGCATCCTGCCCAAATTACTTAATAGCCTGGACCGCCAAGCTACTCTGATGAATGACTCTCGCGGTCGATCCGGTGGTGCGAATCGCTTGCCAGGATTTGTCACAACCCGCTTTCATTGCTGGGAATATCGATTGAGTTAGTGCTTCTTCGATGAACCGTATTTCACGCATCTCGGGATGAATACTGGACAGCGATGCTTCTATTAGCCGGCAAAATGAACAGGCCCTCCAAGGTGATGGGTAAGGACGAGATTGGTAAGTCGCCCTGGAGCTCTTCTGTGCAAGCCAGGATCCATCCCCCAATGATCATCTTCTCACGGTGATCAGGCATACCTACCAGGAACCTCAGGATACCGTAAGCATGATACACTTTTGCCCTCCCCGTACGCAAAAATCCCACGTAAGATCCTGTGCAGGCCCAATAAAGCAGCTGTAAGATGAGTAATCGGAGCAGTACGACACACGGCGTTCGATTGGATTCTCCGTGAACAATCTCATGGGCGGGTAGTTTCCAAGAAGAATTCAGTTTCTAGTAAAAGGATACCTCAATCATCATCGCGTATGTCTGTCGATTAATTTTCCCACGGTATGTCATGTCCGAATGGAGCTGCCCAAGAAGCGGAGTGGGCAGAAAACCGTGGAGAGAAAACCGATCAATGAAGCCACTTTGGCAGGTGGTCGGAGCTATCACCCGACGGTAAAACCTCGGCTCCCCGTCCCATCTTCCGTCGCTTGGAACATCTTTCCGAAATTAGGCCCATAAAATTTCCGGCGCTCGGTAAATTAAGATGTTTCTGAGGATAAAGTAAACAGGGTCAGAAGTCGTGCGAAAGACGGGAGCTTATCGTACGCGCTACTGATGGAGGGGTCGTATCGCAACCAGGTCTTTGAGTTAGAGCCCCTTTCGAAGAAGGGAAATCGAGAGTTCAGATTGTCTCTCAAAACTACTCCGAAAAGTTCTACCCTCAAGCCGTCTCAGCACGTGCGTATATCGAGTGAAGCCTCGACGTAGGTGATCGGAAAATACGAGACAATCCTATCTTCCGGAGCGAGTATTAGCGTTGAACTATGCTTTAGCCCCCGGTGGGTGGACAATATAGGGTGCGAATCGTGTAAAGAGGGTCACAAACTTGATCGTCAAAATCCCCTTTAACAAAGCATTTCATGAGGAAAATTGTCATGGTCCAATATGTGGGACTGCTCGTGAGGCATCGTCAGAAGGTCATCCCGAACTCGAAATCTTCCTTCAGGTTGAAATAGGCCATAATACAGGCTCGGGTCTGAAATGTTCGAGAACCACGCGTCCTAGCACAAATATCATGATGGCAAGAAATGTTCAGCTTCGGCAGTCTCGAACGGCTAGACCAGTGGTTCCCAAACTGAGCTCCGCATAAATCCAACCGGGGAGCCCTGGGGTTCCGCCGGGCGCTTTCTGCGGCTTCGACAGGGAGCTCTCCAGTTACCCCCGTGCTCGAAAACATCTATATGACGTCTCCCACTTAATGCTCCGGGTTCATTCTCAGAGATACATGAGTTTTCCACCTCAAGACCCGCGCGAACAAGACTCGGTGGTGCGAAGCACCCCCGTGCAGTTAGTTTGAAGAGCGCCAGCCATCGACCTCAGAGTGCATGGGATGCGATTGAATTGTTGTGTGCTAAAACAATATTTTCCGGGCTTGACTACACAATGAAACTTCAAATTCTGACTATAAGAACGTATCTCTGCGAGTGGAGATTTTCGATCTACGTCGCGACCAAGAACAAGTATTGGAACCGTTTAGAGGCCGAACCAGAAATGAGACTACAACTGTCAGGAAAGACACCAAGCTTCGCTGAAATTTTGTCCGGATGCCAGATGCATCCGTCGCATCGAAGGGAATCCTCCTTAAGAAATAGTTGAGGGAGTCTAAGTTCGAGAGGTGTACTTATCATGCAGCTGCTCATAAACATCGGAGCTTCAGAGCTGCTCGTGGAGGTGTTTTGCGATACCTAGGGCCTCATTCCAGCGACCAGTCAGAGGAACTCGTATATTTAGTTCGCTAGGGGCTCCGCGGCTTATCCCAGGGGCTGTAAGGGTTCCGCGCGGAAAAAGTTCGGGAACCACTGGGCCAGACGATAGCGGCTCGATCCCGTCAACTACTTATGAAAAAGGAGGCGGTCTCACACTTCGAAATCCAATCGTGCCTTCATAGACGCAATTCGCTTCCACAGAAACATTCGAGCGAAGTATTCCCATTCTCTGATGGGGAAAACTACGATTGCACGCATAGGAGCATGATTTCCACTACGGTCAAGCGTGAAAATTCAAGGATATTCGCGACAGCTCGAAATGGCGTCTCTCATTCATACGAAGTTATCTCATCATTTCATGGTGAAAACGATTTTTACTGTGAGCAGATATAGCAGTCAGCGAACCTCATAGTGTGATGGTTTCCTCGCCCGAAGATGTCACTTTATGTCACTACCTTAAGCGTACCAATCGCCTTCCCAGAAACCCTTGAACGATGTAGTCCAATTATAAAATCGAAGTGAAAGCTGATGTCGATGATTTGGGAACCCTACTCCATCTCTAGGAGATATGAGAGAGCAGACCAGTCAGAAAAACTCTCCTGATCTTATCCCGGGATTTCGTCGGCTGGAATCATGGAGGCAGTGGTAAAGCTCAACCCTACGATACATTTCATATGTACTTCAGTCTACGTACTCCAGTTCCGCCGACCTTCTGGTTGCTATGTTTCGTGGAACAAATATTCGGACCCGTGAGGCACTTGGAGGAGGAAGCCGATTGGGGGAAAGTGTAGTCATACGCCCATTACCCGACTGAGTTATAGACTCAGTCTGTAGCTTGCGTTTTTTTTAAGAAAAGGTTGAGCAAGATCAGCATCGAAATACCATGATTAATCTTGTCTTCGATTACTATCTCACATTATTTCCGGTATGTGGAAATCGCGCCTGGAAATCACTGTCAACAGCGAGATTGCATTAAGCCAATCTATGGAGAGCTCGATACAGGTCCCCGGTGCCATGTTCGTACGGAGGGTTCGCTGGTTGGGAACGAGACGAACCACAGCTCTCATAATCACATTCCTATAGCTCCGGAATGCCTATCTGCTGGAATGTGTCCATCGTCCCAATACTGACTACCCGATTTACACGAGGTCTTTGAAAGTCTTTGATCCGCTTCCAGCTTTTGAACTTGATCACCCACCACGGAGGGGAAGGATCAAGGGCTCGCTCACCCAGTCAGAGAGCTGCATTTCGAGACGCTCGATGTTTGCAGTTCGTCCGTGAGAAAAATTCCCCTCGAGCCAGAAATCCAGATGGTTGTTGGAACTGATGCCGGCCCACCGAGATGGACTAGGCGAGCAGCCAGTCGACAGTCGAACGGATATATGTACGGACTGAGCCGAGGGAGTGAACCAACTAGACAGCAGTGAAAATCAAACCCAGAATTGTCAAGGTCGAGTCGGTTACTGCTTTTGGCGCCATCGTCGCGGCTGCGCTCTGGACAGACAGAGCACCAGCGAGCGAGCGAACGAACGAGTTACTCTGGTGAAGGAACAAACGAGCCAGCCACAGGCAGGCCAACTATCTGCTCGCAGCTAGTCCGTTCACTGGCTCGCTTTCTGGCGTCGTCCGATGGACCACCGAAGCGGGCGTTCTGCATAGCCGACCGGCAAACGTCGAAGCAGCGGAGGGACGGACGGACCGAGGGATAGGCAGACGCACAGACCGACCGGCGGACTAGCGAGCAAAAGTACCGGGTAACCAGCAAACATGAACTGTTCAGTCGCAGTCAGTCAGCAGTCTAGCGGGCGCCTCTTTCTCCAGACGTCGACGACGAAGGCGCAATTCCAGTGTTCTTGTCTCTATAAATATTGTTGGTTGGTTGGTTGCTTGCTCGGTTGCTGGTGGTTGGTTTACTCGGAGCCAACAGACTAGCAAGCGAACAAGTGACCAGCCAGCTACAGAGCGACCGGCCGGCCGTTTGGAAACCCAGCCGACCTGACGCGGACATTAACACATGCATACAACATTACAGAATAACAAAGTCTTTGTCAACGACGCGACGGCTGCCACTGCCGATTACTCTGAGCCGTCTGGGCTCTGCAGGGATCATCATCGTTCGCGACCAAATTCTCGGAGAGCGATTTCCCGGAAAGTCCCGCGCCCTGTTCATTGGCCCCGCTTCTTTACTGCGACCGCCTGAGGTAGCACGGATACCCGGAATCGAGTCCCGAATGCGAGCGATCCATGCGAATGCTGCGTCGGAAATTGAAGACTGAGGACATTTTTCTCCGCTGAGCATTAACTTCTTTCCACCACTCCCAGCCTTGAGACGAGTCATGTGTCGCTGACAGGAACCGTCTGGGCCTTCATCAGACCTGGAATTCGGCGGAGTTTAATTTCATCTGAGATGAAATGGTATTTCTTCCCTCGACTTTCGTCAAGATCGGGCTCGGAAGAACGCGCTTTCAATGCTCGCCCCTGCGAATTGATTCTAGAAAGCCGAACTCGAGACCTGTGGGCGGTGACGGGACGGAAAGCATTCGATGGGATTCAAGCAGTGAATTCAGAAAATAAATAAGAGTAATAGTCGTAGTCGTCGCCGTCCGTGGAAGAGACTCTGACCGCTCAGAGGGCTAGCGGGTAAAAGTTCCATCTAGCAAACCCATCTGAACTCTACAGTTGTTGGCGAGATGTTCAATGTGAAAAACGTCGTTGGGGATGGAAACAACGTAATGGTGTTTTTCGGTTCAGAGAGTGTCGTCGACGTTGTTTAGTGGTTGGTTTGAAGTATACTGAACGATCGTTGGCTATTCCGTGGGTCGGCGGCGGAATGATGCCGGCACGTTGATGATGCCACCACCACCACCGCCACCACAGGCACAAGTCGTTTCAGAAGTCAGTGCCAGAACTGGTTACCATGAGGTTGCAAGAAAAATCTGACCACAATTGCATTGCACACGCGCGAACTCAGCTCGCTCCTCGATCCGATCGTTCTCGCGTCCTCCTCCTCTTCCGAAGCGACACAGGCAACAACCGCTCACTCTTGTTCGCTCGTATACTGGAAAGGCGAATGCCCTCAACTTGGATTTCACTGGTTTAATCCGGAGGATCATTCCGGCAATGGGTCGTTCTTCGCCGAGCAGCCGATTCGATTTTGGGATATTTATCGCGCATTCATTTTGGAAATTTCATGATTGATAACGTCACTTGATCGTGATGGATTCGCTCGGCGTAATTATCTTGCTAGATATGTGAGCGGCGTTTGCGAACGTAAATTTTGTGGGCATTCGAATCTGATACTCGAGTCGGGAATATTCTTCCCCTAACTCGAACGACAAGCTCGGGAATCGTTTCTCGGATGCAATGTCTTTCCTCGTCGGACGAAAATAACGTGATAGCTGATGAGTGGCGAACGGGGTGATACAGTATAGTTCCGTTATAACGAACAAGCAGGCGGCAGCGAGAAACTTTTCGTCGATATGTACATTCGTTGTAGCGAACTTCTTCGACCATTCGCTACACGGGATACCGACCGGGATTTCAGAAAATGATCAAAGGATTCTGCGAAAATTCATTCTTTTGCGGTTCGTTGTATGGATCTTGTGCTGTTGCATAAGTTCTCTGGGTCCGAACTGAATCTTCCACGTGTCATCGGAGGGGTATCGTTGCCACGCGAAGATCGCGGAA